TGCCAGTATCAATATAATATTTGATTTTTGTCGACTGCAAGAGTCATCGTAGCTCTTCTTCGTCGGCTTCAACGTAGTCGTTAAGGACATTTACACCTCTGGGGCCTGTTACATTGGCGATATGTTCTGAACTCACAATCTTTGCTTTCTTCAGCTTCCTGACTGTTGTTTTCCTTGCACAATGATTCGTAAACTTTTTTCTCACTTTCTTAAAGGCTAGTACCAGCTACGGATACTGTCTTTACGTTAGTTATGGTATTTTCGCCCATTGGTTTAGTTTGGACAGGTGTTTAAATTTTCGGTTTCGCTTGCTATTGAGTTAGAAAAAAACAGACCATCACATGGATGTTTTAATAGAGGTCTTCGCTCCACAACAGACTCAAAGAGAGCAACCGGACACTTTTCTCCTCCAACAAATAACGTACGTGACTTGAAATCGCCGTTGTTGTCATGGAAAACTTGTATCCTTGTTCATTTAAATGCCTGAAAAGTGTAGCTGTCATGGTTTGCGTGTGGTTGCAGCCGTTTTTGTTGTTTATTTTTTTACTTTAGCGTAGTGTGTTATAACTAACTTGTTTTTTTAGTTTCTCTGGCTCATTTTCCTCGATTTTGCTGACACTATTTTTCTCTTAGCAACGCATTTTCAATAAATTTAGCCAGAGAGACGTACTTTTTACTGCCGTTGTTCGGGTTTTTGGAATATTTTTTAACTTTTCTATTGTTGTTTTGAGTACAAAATTAATTAAATCGTCGTCTGCTGAAAACCATGAACATTTTCTTGAATTTTGTTCCTAAAACAGCCCTAATCTGATTGGTTGTTAATGGTTTCTTTTGTGTTTTCAGCCAATCAGAAACCATTTGTAATTTGCACTCGTGTCACAAGTTTTGCACTCGTGTTACAAGTTTGCCCTCGTGTTACAGAAGAACTGCACTCATCTCTCAGCCAATCAGAATTGAGTAATTTTTTCGTGTATATCATTGGTATAGGTAATAGCATGATTTGTAGTGATATTTGACATAAATACCACGAGTGATATTTCAAAATTGTTATACGTAATTTTACGAGCCGTTGGGCGAGTGAAATTTGAGACAATTTTGAAATATCACGAGTGGTGTTTATGCCAAATATCACGTACAAATCATGCTGTTATTTGTTTATACTACTACCCGCAAAAGGTCTGTAATTTTCAGATGTAGGTATTTCAAATTAAGCTGAAATACCACTGCTCTAAACCAATCAAATTGCAGAAATTTCTCATGTAGTAGTATAATGACCCTTATACAGCGGGAAATTTGAGTGGTGCGTGTGACCGAACTTTCCCGAGATAAATTTATCCATAGTTACGCCAACAAAAAGAAGAAAGAAACCGCCCATTTAACCGGCGCGGGAAAATAGTTATGGGTTTTCGATTCTCAAGGCCAGAGAGCAAATGAGGTTTCTTCATTTGACACCAACATGAAACGGCAAAAAAATTGCCTTTTTTAACGGGTTTCTTTCGCGCTCTTGAGAGAAAGAAAGGTGGACGTTGACTTGGCAGATTTCACTTTACTATGAAATTAACAGGGAAATTTTCAGGTACAATTTTGAATTGGTTTGTTGGGCTAGATTCAGGAACGATATTTCCCAAAAATATATTTTATTCCTGGCATGTAATCGAACAGTGAGATGCAGCTGAACTGTATAATGGAATCTAACGTCAAGATTAAAAAAACATTGTTTTATACCTTCGCTAAATTTTCAGGACTAACATACCAAGTGAAATTTCAGCTAAATAAATTATACGGAAATTATCAACATACTCGTTGAAATACTGCCGTGATTGACTGGATTGATGGCGATTATTACCGCAATAGCGCGAATGAAGCCATAAAAGCAGCTAATTTACCTTGGGAATCAATTCACGTGTAACCACATGTTACCACGGTAAACTAAAACCCAAGTTCAAATTTACCACGGCTTCGTTAACGTGGGAAATGCCTTTTACTATGGTGTGTGTAACCGCGTCTTATGTAAGATGACGTTATGGTTGTCTTGTTTTATGCTCGTCAGGAACACAGCCGAGGCAATCGTTTACAGGACGATTTTCCACGGAGGCAACCTCTGATGACACTGGTTCGGGAACACTAGAGCGGTCCTACTATCGACGCAACCGAACAAAGTTTACGCCTGAGCAAATAGAAGAATTGGAGGCAACGTTTGAGAAAAATCAGTACCCGGATGTGTTGACGAGAGAGGATCTGGGAAGGAGACTCGATATTGGTGAATCAAGAGTGCAGGTAAAAAGACCTTCTAGAGACTTCAAACAGTCCCACCTCCCTTCAAACTCCCAGGCTTTTGTACTCTTGCAGACCCGAAGGCAACTAATTCGGACGCGATATTTCAGTACTTACGAAACCGTTAAAAGCAAGGTTTTAATGAAGAAAGGTACAGTCGCTAGACACTTCAGTCAATGTAGGCAGATTTAAATATTTGGATTGGATTTCCTGAGGCAGGGAATTCTAATACTTTTAGAACTGTTCTGCCAAAAGTTAGTGCCCAAGGATTGTCCGGCCGTTTTTCAGCGTACTAGCCTTTCCCTCAACAATTCCGCCTTATGAAAATACCGTCCAGACTGGCTCCGAGCGCCGTGCCTTTGTCTCAAGATAGATACTAATCAACAAAACGTTGTTGCACGATCGTCTATTACTACTTATTCAGTTTTTTTTCCCTTTTTTTTTTGTTTTTATTAGATCTGGTTTTCTAACCGTCGTTCCAAAGAAAAGCGTCTGAACAATGGAGGCAAACAACTTGCCAAGAGGTCACCTAGGATCAGCCGAATTTATTACCCTCTTCAGTACTCTACCCCATTTCTCCCGTATTATTATCATCCAAGCGACACAACCTATTCCCAACATGGGTATAACTTAGATTTGCACACGTGTTGCACATGTACAACCCACTTGAATAGCAGGCCAAATCTCAGGGGTTAATAGCCTGATTAACAGTTATAACACCGTCAAGTCGTTAGTGATGATTTTTAAAGAATTGTTTGCTGACATATCAGAATATTATAGAAAAACCCGGTAACTCGAACTCTGAAGGGAAACGAAAAACAGGTCGAGTTGACGGGCAATTCGAGTTATCGGGGCAAATTTCAGTTAAATTTTGATCAAGGGAAAGGAAATGTAGTTCGAGTTAGCGGGGAATTCGAGTTATCCGAGTTAGAGTTATCGAGAGTTCTACTGTAATGCATTTAGAAATATACATACTTAGAGTTTTCCTACCCCAAATAGGCTGATGTAGGGTTTCAGTCAGGGACACCCAGCAACTGTCTCCTGTAAAATATCTGTTGGGAGAAGCAAATATTTCCTAGAATTTTCTATGACTTGAGGACGGCTACAAAGTTCTAGATGACTGTTCCATTCATGTACAATTTCCGAAACTTAACTAATAAATTCCCTACGATTTTCTGAAGCTTTATTTTTCACATTTCACTCCCAAGTAATGCTGTTTTTCGAAGACAAAAGAAACCCAGAATTTCCGTATTCAAATATGTGATTGAGATAGGAATCAGAAATATTCTCACATTCGTACAACTATAACTTGTATCTTAAATTTTCGGGCAAATAATACTGAAGCCTTTGTAATTTCGAAAAGACTCAAAGTCCCGTAGGATGACCGAACAGATACAAATTCATGACGTCGCTTAGAAAGTGTTTCTAGAGATCTAAAACTACTCTGGGTGGCTTAAAAGTGTTTTCAACGTATTTAGGAAGAAATAGTCGCTGGGTGCCTCTGGGTTTTCTATTAGAATTAGCTGTCAGGAGCGTGGATACCGGCTGTATGCCAGTGCACACGAGCTCGTCTGAAAAATGTCGAAAATAAATAATAATAATAATACTAATAAAGCCAAGGAACATAAGGTAAATAAGGCATATCTGAAAAAGAGTGCATTTGCTTATCAAAAGAAACTCCGTTTTAACCTTTCATGTGATATTATCCGACAAACTACAAAAAGCGGTGTTTTGTTGCTGCCTGACGAACACGATCCTTAAATTGAACACCACCATACTGATACAAAAAAAGGAATTTAATCAAGATACCCAAGTGAAAACGTTTTGGGAGAAGAAGAAGGGTTGACTTAGAAAACTGTGCGTAACCTCTAGAAATTTTGAGCCACGCCCCTGATTATCGACGTTTTTCGAAAGTAGTTACCCACACCAAACGATCAAAACAACTCATGTAACTGATAGAGGGCTTTTAGACAAAACACAGCTGCAGGTACTTTCATCAGGTAAATATAGCAGTATTGAAGAATATAAAATATTCAATGAATTTACAACCGAAGTAATACCATGGTGATTGTAATAAAGACGATTTTCCTTTTTTCTTTATTCGTGTCTATGATTATCATGACTAGGTGGTCAAAATGGTTGTTTAAACCCCACGGCAAGGAAGCACTTTCATTAGAAACGAATTTTTAACTTGCTTGAATGACAGTCGAACGTTATATCAGCGGGAAGGGGGAAGAGAGACTTACATGCGGGGAATCTTATACGCGGTAGTTTTGGGTACTCTAAAACAGTATGACAATATTTGCTTTTTTATATAACTACTTACCTACAACCCTAAGCCATACTTTTAACTGATAAAAAATATTGGCTTTCTGTTCAAAACACCGGCCTTACATCAGACCAAATCCGATATTTTCTACCCTCAAGCGAGACGACGAGCATCGCTGTCGCTTTCATTTGGGCCGGCCCCCCAGGTTTTACATTTATTCTTGTTTTCCATTGTGACGTCTTTGTCCAAATCTTCCCCAAACAATCCAGGCCGAACCTTAACATTTAGAACAGCCAGATAATAACGACGTTCAATAGAATATTTGCACTGCTTTAAACGAATATTTTCCTCATACAATTTATTCTGCAGTTAATGCAGCCATCGACACAACACGCCACAGTTTCATCACGGCTGCATGTACAAAATTTCTTTCATAAAAGAGCCAAAATTATATACTCACTCATATTTACAGAATTTAAATAAAGCTGTCTGACTCTCAACTTCGAAATGCATGCAATGTTTGTGGTGTGTGGTTCTTGACCACATTGGGTAAATAGGTCAAAGCTCGTCCTCCTTTGCAGTTTTCTCAAATTGTTCTTCGCAAAAACTACATTTCACATACGAATGTATAACGTGTGAAATTAATCTTTGGCCGAAGACGATCGTTTAACACTGGCACCCTCTCTAGGGAATAATGTTGTACTTTTTTTCGTTGAATCAGGAGTGCTTTTGACGGAAGAGGGTCTTGCCCGGCTCTTATCTTCCTGTGATACAGGGCCAGGTGACTCGGCCACGGATTCGCTGTTACTTTCCTCCAAAACTTTCTCTTTGGGTTGTCCTGTTTCCTTGGTAACTTCGTGGTTCTTTTCTACTACATTATTATTCGATGAGGCATCAGAAGGCCCCGAGGTATTAAGATTATCCGTGCTTGGACCTGCTGCGTTTGATCCCCTGCGGCTGGTACCAGAGGTAGGCCTGGTCTCATCAAGAACTCCTGTGGAGCCAATGGGTGACAAGGCTACCGCAGGGGAGGGGGGAGGAGCACTGCTTTGCCCGGTCTGTACCCTCTCCTCAACTGGAGTCGATTTCTTCTGTTCCTCTGCTAATCTTTGCTTCTCCTTCTCTTCTTCCATTTCTTTCTTATCCTTTTCAATGGTGTGCATTTGTTGGTGGTGTTCTTGTAGAATTCGCTGCATTTCTTTGGGCCGTGGTGCATGTAGCTGAGGCGTTTTCGAGGGAGGGGTGGTTGGATTCTGTTTATTCTCCTCCGTGGTACCCAAAATGGAGTCAATATCATCAATGGCAGGCTGAGGAGTGTTTAGGTTAAAAATTTTAATTATACTAAATTATGTATATGGCTACAATAGTACGCGCGCTCTAATTCTTGTAATGACCGGGCATTTAATACTAGCTATCTGTGTCCAAGGCATATACAACCTGTGTTTAACTTGACAGTGGACATCCTTATGGACATCCAAGCTATGGTCGATTGACAGCTGTCAAAAAGGGTATCCGCTGACTGGTAACACCTGACTGTATCGCGGGCTTAAGTGTAAAACCACAAGTAGCCCAAGCTAGAAATATGAGCATCGGCGAGCATCGGCATTGTTGCGTAACATTCTAAATATAAGGATTTGTTTGAGGAAAAAACCTATCGTTTCTGTAACCTAGGAAAATGAAAGGATTTCAATAAAAAATGGCTTACCTTATCTCAAATGTGTGTTAATCTCTCTTGTGTGGTCCTTGGGCCGATTTATGGCCGTTAAATGGGTTGTGCTGTAAACGGTTTTCTCTCTACATATATGAGAGAGAAAACCGTTTACAGCACAACCGATAAAACGGCCATAAATCGGCCCAAGGACCACACAAGAGAGGTGTAACGCACATTTTATGTAAGGTAAGCTTTTCCTTTTTTGAAATCCTTTCATTTTCCTCAGTTACAGAAATGATACGTTTTTTCCTCATACAAATCCTTATATCTGGAATGCTAGGCAACAATGCCGATGTTCGAAGATGCTCATATTTCGAGCTTGGGCTACCTGTGGTAAAACTCATTCAGGTGACGGGTTTTTTAAGTTATCCACTGACCAGTTGTTGGTTTTAATTGATCGCAGGCTCAGGCCCATGATGAAAAGGCCATACAATAAATAACTTATTGACCTCATCTGTTCCGTCATTACAGGGAAATCTCAGACTTCAGCCTTGATGTCAATACATCAGGGATGCGGGCTGAGATTCCTTGTAATGATCTCACTCTCGGTTAATGAGTAGTATGTAACGATTAAATTATGAACTCTAAGCGTTGCTGCCACGATTACTGAGCCAAAAGAACATTTTCCCGATGAATTCATCAGAATTCACTGCTTGTTTGCTTTTTCATTCAAATTTAATGTGACTGCACATATCATTTCAGCTTGGCGTAACAGAATTTTTTTCCGTGAGATTTGTCTATCACTGGGGCATGCTTTACGATCAGCTCACCTGAAAGTTACTTTCCCCTTGCATGTTTGGGGCGGAGATCTCCTGGTGAATAACGGACAGGTTACGAGCAAATGTCGACAATGAACCTTGTAGATCATCACTCATTACACTGAGATAAAGACAGATTACACAAGAGTGAGTTTGCGGTCTATACAAATTTATCTCTGGCCACTAAACCTAACAACCAAACGTTTATGCCGTAAATTGTTTTAAAAAGACACGTGCGTTATACATGTGTAGAAGTCGTAAAATGTGGCTTAAAATATTCGCGGTTTTCACATGACGTCAACAAAATTCAAACTACGGAATTATCTTCTAAGTCTCTTATTTTATGAGGTATTACAGCACCTAAAAATCTTTATTCAAACAAATTTTCGGTTCGAAAGGAGTATTCGTTTTCTGGTAGAGAAAGCTATTATCTGGGTTACAAACGTTACCCGGAGTTTTTGAGATTTTGCTAAACATTCCTTGTCTCAGAATAAACACTTCTTTACTCAAGTAATGAATTCACGCCTCGAAGACAGATGTTTCTGTTGGTTTTCGGCCGCTATATCTGTGCCTCTCAAAGGGACACCAAGATGGCGTCTTCAGACGAAGCTTTGTACATTTGGTTAAACGTTTTCCCGAATACCTCTCATATGTAATATCGCACAGACCTGATTTTTGGCGAGACTTCATCGTATATTTCTCTTCTTTCATTGCCCAGATTCTGGGCTTTCTGTATCGAATGGTTTGAAAACAGAAAGTTAGCCCACAGTAGGTTTTCGACATCGCAAGGTACGCACCGATAAAACACAAAGGCTTTCCTTACCGTCAAAGGTCCACTGTACAGTGAAACTTAAGTTTCATAGAAAAAAAAAATTGCTGAAATGTACACACGCTGACGTTTTTCTTCAAAGAGCACATAGCATTTTGAGTTACAGTACTTAACTTGCTTTAAGCAGTTTTATCGAGGAAGATAACTTTTTTTCTTGAATTTTATCAATGTAATTTTGTTCATTATTTTGTTCTTTAAGGTCTTACAGTGATGGGCATCCCCCTTTGTAGGACCTAAAATTTTATGTATATGTAGAAGGGTACTTACATCATCCCTAAATGCTCTCGCTTTGAGCTGTCCACCAATGTGAAAATCGTCCCAGCCTTTTCCTAAATATTAGAAAAGGACAACAAGATTACTCTTTCAAATGAAGAATGATCCTCGCAGTTGTGAACGCAATTTATGCAATTGTGTAAGAGGCCTGAAAAAACTTCAGGACTTCAACGGGATTTGGACCTGTGACCTCGCGATACCGGTGCGACGCTCTAACCAACTAAGCTATGAAGTTCGTTAGATCGTCATACCGGTATCGCGAGGTCACGGGTTCAAATCCCGTTGAAGTCCTGAATATTTTCACGCTTCTTACGCAATTGCATAAAATTAATTGCGTCGTTTACAACTGCGATGATCATTCTTCATTTGATTTCATTTCCGCAGTTCTCATATATGATTTATTTCGTATACATTTGTCACACACGATTACTCTTTCATTGCTACACACTGTGTGAACCACCTTCAACGAGGGTGATCACCCCTTTTAATGTAAGCTAATGTGGTTAAAAACTTACTTGTGATCATCGAAAAGGCAAAAAAGAACTTCAGGAAAGGCCTTGAGACCAATCAAAAAGTACGATTTAATCCTACAACTAGCAAACAAAATTGGCCGCCTCTGATTGCTGAGCAACGTTGTATTTAATCTCACATTTTAGCAAGTAAAAGAAGTTGGCACGATTCAACTTCGAAGGATAGCAAGAGAAAATAAGTTAGACTACCGTGAGTGACATAAATGGAAACATTTTTCTTTTAGTGCTAACCAATTTTTCTCCATCGCCAACTTATTTCCCCCTTTCTCTCCACTCCCTATATATATTGCTGTTCTTTTTCCGAGCATTTCAGGCCACAATCCACGGAGGGAGCAAAATCTGCAACGACTTATTACATCCTGATATTTAAAGCGATCTCTACAATCGCAAGAGCAATTTTTGAACTACCCTAGCGATCAGTGGAACCTTTTACGACAAATAACTTACCTTCATGTCAAAACCAATGCCATGCGCCCGACACATCTGGAAGAACACACTATAGTGAATCACGCTCAAATTACTGTGTAGGAGCCTGGTACTCAAAATGGCGAAACGGTTTGGATTCGGCGGCGGCTGAAATAGCATCAAAATAAACTCAAAAAAGCCCCATTATAGCTGAAAATGGCGTTTTCTTTCAATCACAAGATAAAATAACAGTCATAAGAGGCGCTACAAACGAGGCCGGTTATATTCAGAGGAAAAAAAAGTGTTCCTTCTGAAAAAATATAGACTGCTAGCAGCCTCTCATTTTTATTTTGCGTCACACTAGATCGAGAGCAGGGCGTTAATATGAATTCAGATTTATCGTAACATTAGCATAAGGGGGTACGCTCTTAAAGACATCGCGAAGCGTTTCGCCATAGCGAAAAAGTATTTATGACATTTTACTCTGTACAGGGTATTAAAAGATAACAACCGATCGAGACTGAGAAAGAACATTTGCGACATATTTCTGATAACAAGTAGGTTGCTTCTTGAATTACAGATCAAGGACGTCAACGAACAGAGGACGATTTGTTTACTGAGGGGGTGTTTGCATGAGAAAACTCGCACCGGCGCGAGTTTCATACCGCGATGACCTTTTTGTTTCGTATCGTGTTTACATTATGACTGGGTCATTTCATATCTCGTTATTTGAAGGACACTAAAACACGTAAGATTCAAAATCGCAAACATTACGCATGCGTTACCCGTTCCAGTCTACCAGCAGACCGATTTCACACCGGACCGTGTGGTCGTTTCGCATTTACATGAGACCGTTGCGAGTGACTCGCGCCGGCATGACATTTTGTGGTGGTATCATGTAAACAAATTTAGAGCCATGGGTGGGAACCGCAGTGAACTCACTCCGGAGCGAAAGTCGTCCCGGTGTCACGTAAACACCCCCTGATAAGCAATATTATGCACCTAATCATGAGGATCTGAGGATATGCTCTAACATTCGTAAGGATTTAAATTTAACAAAAAAAGTGGTAAAATAGCGCTAAAGTATTTAAATTGCAAATCATTTAGATATATTGTTTATTTTCAACTGTTCACACAAACTGAAGGTTAGGTAATTCGAGGATTACATTTGGTTTTACTCGCTGCGCAGATATCAAGTCTCATTTCACGGCTATGATCCCCTTACAAAAAGACCCACCTCATCATCTTCCACTGTCTTTCTCCTTCGTCTTCTTCCACTTTCTTCGCGTTTCTTTTTTACAGGTACAACGAATGATGAAATAGCGGGCTCAAAGTGTCCAGCAGATACATAGCGCATAAGTTTCGTCATAGCCATGCTGTCACTATACCTGAGTTTCAGATCCACGGCCCACACCACCTGTTCCAACTATTACATGGAATATAAGATCAGCTGTGTTAACTCAGTTATAAATCTTTATAACGCGATAAAACCTTATTTACGATCACAATACCGGCCATTTTTGCGCACAGGCATTGATGAGTCAAAAACATTGTTACATGGTGTTTCTTGGGTTTTAAAAATATCCAATGACAGCTCGCAGACCAAGTAACGGAAGTTTGCCTCTAAAAGCAAACGTTAACATTGCTTTTATCCCATCAATCCTCGCGACTGAACAAAAAAGACATCGTGAATAAGTACAATTTTACAATTGTAATAAGCAGGCAAAAATCTTACTGATTTAGGATCAATGAATGTCACAAAGTCAATGGAGAAATATCCCACAATTCCACGCAGTTTACAAGCATTAGCCACAGCGTCAACAGCCGTGCAGAGAAGCGAGGGATCCACAGAGGTCTGGGGCACAGAGTAGCCCCAGCATCTGAAACGCGACGACGCGTGAATCTGCGGCGAAAAGAATGAGTAACAACGTCACAGAGGTTCCAAAAAGGGGAAGTTAACTTAGTCTTTTGGTCAAAGATATCAACTCTGGAGGTTACAAATTGTAAGTATAAAGCTAAGAGCAGATGCTGGACAGTAAACTTTTATTGGGTTGATTAATAGTTGTGGGATAAAGAACTACAAGAGAGTCCTAAAATCAGGAGTTCTTTGTGGTTTAGGTCTTCATTAACCAATTGACACTCCGACGACAATATTTGAAACTGTTTGCGTGAAAAATCCCCACCGTGGCGCAATTAGAATGATGCAATAGGTGTGTTACGGATGTCTTCAATTAAGTTATAATAATACCACTGGCCATTTCTGCTAAAAATCATCCTGGCACAAAAATCGAGATTGTAACGCTTATATGGCGACAGGACACCCAAGGAACCACAGGAAACCTAAAGATTATTGTGCAGCTCGCCTGGAGGGTCGAGGAAATTATAAAGACTAGAATAAAGATATTTGCATACCTGATCTCCCATGGACAAAATGGACGATTCGCCAGTCGGTTCAATCAACACGTCCACACATAAAGCTGTGATACTGTGAGATGGAGGGCAGGCTTCAATTACTCCTCCTGAAAAGCAGCCACTGTCTCTTTGAGTATAATAACAAAACTCGAAAGGTCCATATTAAGCTTTCAACCCAGAAAACTCTTGGGTCTCGGTCTACGAGTTGAGAAGATAAATGAGGCTTGACTGAAGTTAGTAGAAAGATCTGACATAAGGTCGCCGCGACCTCAAAAATAGTTTTCATTAATCAAAAGGGTGGGTTTGTTTAAGCTGTGTTACTGTAAAGATTTTTCGAGATCAACTTTCAGCCAAGTTTTTTTATTATATTTTACAACATGTAAGCTGTTTTCTCTCATGACTTCAGTTCAAAATATACACTGAAAAACTGAATAAGGATGATCTATTTCACACATCAAGTAAAGTTATGCGAGATAGCAGCCAAAAAGATGTCCTTCTTTTTAAAATCTGGAACCTTATTTCAACTGAGAGCAGTTCTACTTAATCACCTCTTTTAAGAAAATCTTGTAGAAATTTTTCCCATGTTGGGTACAGGTCGCTGTTCACAGGACTAGCATGGTGGGCCATAATTTCGGGGATTTCCGCTGACACTCGTATCAGTGTGGGCTCATGCGCCCACTTTTTGCTCCATTTCTCGCCATACCGCTGACACTCTTTCAGAGCCCACGAGTAACACTTCAAGTGCGGGGTGACGTCACAGTAAGCTGCAACGTGAAAAAGACGTTTGGGTGATTACACTCTAGTGCCAATCAAACATGGTGAATACGGCTTTGAAAAAGAGCCAGCTTCATTGACCCACCTGTTCCTCTACCATCAAACTCGTTGTCCATCTTGAACAGCCATCGTTTGACATGAAGGTTTTCTGTCACTAACTTAGCCACACTCTCGTGAAGCTAAAGACAACAAAACATTTTTGAATATTTTAGTTGCAATTACTAAGTTTATTTGTTTTATGGCCCTCGAATGCTAAAGTTTAGGCAGCATTTTTTTTTTCTTTAACAATTAAAAATGATCTGAAAAATGCATGCACTGCACACACAGTCAGCCACAAAATGAAAATCGATACCATCTGCTACAAACAACTTTCTCTTAACCGACGTCACTAAAGACGTACAGCTTACGTTAGTCCCTTCCCTGTCGTATTTAAGTCATCAGTGAACTTACTCAACAGGACGGGAGAATTGGAGTTTAAAAAAAAAGAATCTGTTTCAAATTTTAGGCTTAACAGGTTCTTGTAATATATAAGGGGTCAAACAAGCAGATTATAACCAGAGAGGGTTTTTTAAAAACTAGGCTTGTACTTGCTCGTTTTACTGTAGTTCAAACTTACTTGCGGCAGACTGTAGATATCAAAGTGTCCTGGTGGGATTTCAACCTTTGCGCTGAGAAATATCCTCTTGGAGCCCGACTTTGTAGAGTAAAGGGTGGCTACCTCTGGCTCGGGACTCAGAACTGGGATATCTAACACCAGAAGGTACAGAAAATATTAGATTGGTTACAGTAGAATAGCGGAAACAACGCCTTTTCACGTAAATTTTCAGCAAAGACAAGGTGCCGGAATTGACGAAAGCGCGTAGATCAAATTTAGAGGGACTGCCTAAATGGCAGAGCCGCAAATAGGTCATTTCCAAACTCCAAATTATCTCGCTTTCAAAACGTGGCTAAGTGCAAAACCATTCTTGTGAAAATGAGTTTTATTTGCACGACAATAAAAAGCTTATTTTCATATCAAAGGCTTTGCACTTAGCCTCGCTTTGAAACAGAGGCTTGGGGTAACTCGGAAATGGCCTATTAAAGACCGAAAGTCGCGTCCAGTCTTTTCCGCGCGATTTGCTTACTCATTCGAGGTAGCGTTGTCTTTCCTAAATGGGCCAAATGCTGATATATTTCTAACATTCTTTTTCAGGTTACCCGCCCCTGCTCTGGCCTGCGATACCAGTCTACCTTTTAGAGGGAAAAGGACGTTCTGTATTTTCCGTGTGTAGTCACTATCCTTGATTTGAAAAAACAGAGGGAGACTGTCTCGGAGAAGTCAACTTTTTGTGGAAACTTAAGAGTTTAACTTCATACTTTCTCTTTCTACACACGAAGCTGTCACATTCAGCAACAGAGCAATACAATCACGTAAGACAAATTAATCGTGCGATATCAAGTGAATATCCTAAAACCGTAACCAAAGCAATTACGCAGTGAATGTAATTTATGCAATTGCGTGAAGAAGCCTGAAAAAATCGTTAACTGCGACGAAAAAAAATCGATCATTTTCTCGACGATCATTTCTTCATTTTCATTTCATTTCCGCAGTTTATATATGATTAATTTCATATATCATTAACAAAAGCAATGACTTTGACCAATCACAACAAGATGGACAGCAAATGAATGAATCACCGCAATTACAAACTACACGTAATGGCGCCAAGCAAATCAACCAATAAGCACTTGAATTAATGTCACAGCGCTAATTAGCTAAGCGCGGAAGAACACTCGAAGGCAAGTCAGTATTCATTTTTATCACGTTTTACTTCTAATTGGCCGCAAAGGTTAGTAATACGTAAAGGAAGCTACCACAAAGACTCAACACTGAGCTAGAAACTCACCGAGCAAATCAGCCAGGTAGATATCATCTTTATGAAGCACACCAGGAACTATATAGGCATCGCGCCCTTTTATCAAATTCTTTAATCTGACAAGATCAACAAAAGATCAATCAGCGGTCATTGTTCCTCTAATCCTGGCGAAGAACCAAACAGCATCCCTTATAAACTCACGGAGTATCCGAGCGAGATATCTATGGACCATAAGTCTACAGAAATTGGATTTTTTAGTTTCTTCTTCAATAAAAAACACTAATACATATTTTCTTTCAAAATGAGATCATAAACATTGCCAAATTTTCCAGCACGAGAATGTAGCGAGTACCAGTGAAACCGTTCAATAGGACGTCAAGTTCTGTCACTGACAGTACTAGAGAGATTAAGATTCACGTTTACGGCATACGGCAAACGGCAAACGTCAGTTGAAAATTTCTCAGAATAGAGAATAAGCAGATAAAAACAGTCCAGAACGATTCTTGTGGACAAAACTGGCATAAAACTACTTATTTTTGTGTAGAAGCAATAAACAGTAAACGAAAAACAAGGGGGAAACTTGGTCACGTGGTACAAATTCACGTTTGCCGTTTGGCGTAAACGTGAATCTTAATCTCTCTATTAATAGAATTCGCTTTTAACTTACCTTTTAATCGTTCTGGGACTATACTTCAAAATGGACGAAAGACACATGTTGTGAGTCTGGCGAGCAAAGAAGCAAAGGAGTTAGTGGAATGCAAAAATATTTATTTATCCATGAAAATAAAATAAATACGAATAACATCTCCGTTATATGCGATTTTACACCCAGGTTCCTGCAGGAAATCAGGAGTGGTCCCTTAAGTCTTCCGCAATTGGGCACTGTAATTTGTAAAATCTGAAGGTGTATTTGCAACCATGGACACATAAAAATGGGTCACTTTTCAAAGAAATAATAATTATTCTTTAGCTACGGAATGTTACTTAAACGGATGTAATCGAACTTGCTCATCCGGGTTCTGCCTTTGTATCGCAGGAAAATTACCCCCCCAAAAAAAACTCTTGGAGTTTAACTTATAACAATCGAATATCTACGAGTAATTTGAAAAGGTTGGTCACATATATCGAGACGCCATTCAAGCTATGTTACGTCGTAACATTTAAAATAAATAAATAAATACTTAAAAGTATTTCTGTTTTCCGACGTATCCACTTTGTGTGTACAATGATGAAGTACTTCATTTCACAGTTTTCTAATTACCGGAAATCTGTCGACAGCATCAGGTACAATGATTTTGTAGCGGTTTTCAATGTCATCTTCTTCCTCATCATCACCACTTGCTCTGGGGTCAGAATCACTTGCATTCGGTCTCCGCGCTTTCATAGCAAGAAGTTTCGAGTAATACTGATATACTTCGTCATTTAGTTCCACTGGACTGAGATAAATTACTTCAACTTTGGGATCTGAAGTTTAAATAAATCGTGGGAGTCTCTGAGTCTCTCCTACGACATTTGCGCGGAATATTCAAAAACTTTTAGACTCAAACCACGAAAAATTCAATATATGGTACTCGCTATACTAGATTTTAAAACCCACCTGAAATATCACTAATATAAAGTACCCAAAAAGCTCCAAAAAGTACAATGTATCAAAATTCAAGAAAGCAAATTCAATTCTTAGAATGATAAAAGAGACACAATGCCAAAGACGTTTCACGGTCACACCATAACTCTTATTTGAAATACGAAATTTGAGGATGTACATCAAAGGTTCTGTTCTAGTGACAGGGTTCACAGTCCCGAGTAATCGTACTTTTGAATCTGTGAAATGCTGCCGAGTAGGATCCATTTTGAATCGTACTTTATGGAGTAATGCATTTGCCACTTAAGAAACAAGACAGGAAACTCGGCCAGGTTAGCTTTGGCAAAGACTTCTGGGACTGTTACTAGGAACAGGAAAAACCCGTGCAACGTCCCTAGTAACGATGCCACAAACAAATGTGGTGTGCCAGTCTCCTTCTCCTTTCTTAGTCTAAGAACATGTAACTCGAGCTTACAAAACACTGTTGTGCTAGCCTGCGTAGCAAGCGTTTCCTCGCGAGTTCGTCGAGAATGTTGCGACAAGAGCAAAAAAAAAATGAACGACGGGGGAGGGGGAGGAGAAAGAAGGGAACGCTTGCCCGCAAACCCTACGATTTTGTTTCTGATTAGTGCAGTGCGGGTAGTGTTGATTGCTTAGCACTCGAAACATCAATCAAACCAGGTATGCTTTGTTTACGTGCGTCACAGATCTGGTCTCATCTGATCTGTGGTCGCAGATTACAAAATGCTTTGGGCCAGGCTTTGGGCTGATATTTACTTGAATAGTGTTTGTGCGAAGGTTTATGAGATCAGAGTCTTCAAAGTATAAATGGAGATAGAGCGGTGGAGACTAGGGAAGGCTAATTTATTGAGAATGACGGCATGCGGATCTCACTGGAAAACATGGACTGTTTTGTTAGCGCTAATCGGCCTTCCAGGAACCTGGCCCTGCAGCCCATTACCTAGGACTTGTCTTCAACTAACACTGCAAGGTCATTTTCAACTACAATGGACCCAGGGTTGTACAAGAAGAATACTCTATCCCCACCCTCAATTCAATCCCTTGAGCTATAAAATATCCCGTGATCTGCGTCGATGTGCACATTGGTCTTACCTTCTATATCACACAGTCTCGCCATCTGGAGATTTTGAAGAATTTTTATTTCACTAAGTTCATCTCTTATGTGTTGGGCATAACCTACAAAAGAGGTCAACAAGTACAAATAAAACCACTAGCATTAAAAGTGCTGTGAGTACATGCATAGACTGTTCACAGTCCCCTATTTTTTCGTGAGATCGTTTAGATATACCGCGTCTTACCGTCACGGGTATCTTGATTTTCAAATGTACCGAGGGGACGGGTGTTGAGAATTATAGCTCTGGTGTTGGGGGGGGGGAGGAAGGGGCGAGAAAGTAGATTTGACACTCATGCAAGATGGCAGCGCGTAACACGAAGCGATCGATCTCGATGATCTTACGGAAAAATAGAGGACTGTGAACAGTCTAGTACATGCAAGCCTAAGTATTTATTGATGTAGAAGTGTACTTGTATGCAACTTTAAAAAAAAAAAAACGACTAGTGAAAATTTAAGTCATGCAATTTAATAAAAAAAAAATCGAAGGTTTGAAAGGAAAGTTCCCACCAATTTGACTATCTGCTGAAGTGCATGATGGGGACGGTTGTCTACCCATTGCCGCAACCTCGTTCCCAGTTCCTCTGTTCCCCGGAGAAACGAGTAGGAGAGGGCCCTGGGAACGAGAATGCACATTGCCATCTCTCATAAAGTTGGACAACACCACAAGAAGCTCACCTAAAGAGGGTATATGAATTACTACTCTCCTTGAATTCTTGATGCGAGGCCAGTTGTCTCTAAACTCCTATAAATGCAAGAAAATAAATTATAACTACATTTTTAAAAAAAGCACAACCTTTCAAAACGGTAAAACGAGAGAGAAGGATGTACCTTTGCTCTTATTTTAAATCGTTTAAGCTGTAATTTCCTTGTTTCTTTCAGCTGTTTCCGAACCATAGATATTTTACAGCTCATAATCCAAGATATCGCAATAACTCCTGTAATTAAACAATTCAATAAATGCTTCAATGAAACAACCAGAAAGAATATTTGAATTTCCTAAAAGAGAACTGTACGTATTTCCAAACAAGATTTGATTACTTTTTGCGGCAATGATAAATGTTTGTTTAAACTACAAAACCTGTCTTGAAAAGAAGTTAACTTGTTCACGTCTTGTTGTTGTTGCTGTTTTGTTTTGTTGTTCTTACTTATTTTTCTTATTTCTTAAATCGTTGAACGCACGATAAGAGTAGCAAGAGAACTGAATTTAGTTGTTGAAGTTCGAAAGGTGAAGAAGAAAAACTCAGTATTAGTTACCGTGCCAAATGATTTGCTCCGTTTACAGCTAGGACTTGCCTAAGCACTAGAGACGGTAATCCGTGGATTTCACAGATTCATTAATAAACCATTACCAACTTTGAGAATCTATTTCCACTGCTATTATCACTATGTTCAGTTCATTTACTATGACCATTCATTTAGTATTACCTGCCGCCCATTTTCGTTTGCGATACAGCAGATAAGCTGAGCGATCCTTGTACCTTCGCCAGGTGGACTGAAAGAGGAAAAAAAAAAATGACGAAATAATTACAATGATATTACACAACAGAATAGTCTTTGAAATGTACGAAATTCATGACTCGCAGGCCCCGTCCACAAGTATTCGGATATTGTTTCAAACGCAAATTTTTTATCCGTTTTGAAAAAAAAAATACGTGTCCACACGTAGCGCATCAAATCGTTATCGCCCGTCCACAAATGTGTCGAGGTATTTTAGTTTTCCATCGGTTGAAATACAAACGCTTCTCATCCAATCAGGTTTTTCACCAAGTAAACAAATTGATAAGAAACGGATTCTGGAAAAGTAGCTCTTGACTAACATGTCTTATTTTGTAAATTTGAACCAATCGGTTAGACACAATAGCATCAACTTGACAAAATAATCTTAAGCTTAAGAAGCTTAATCGGTTCACCCGCACATTTTCAAGAAGAAATCTCCCTTCTTTAAAATTTAGTGAAACACCAGCCAGCGAAAAACAAAGTCAATAAAAAGCCTAACAAAGAAGAAAGAAAGAAAATGTAAACGAAAAAAATGAAGCTTAGACCAGTGGCCAGTAGAGTGCAAGTTACATGTAACTGCACAAACAAGGTCAAAAGGAGGGACAATTGTGGCTAATAAGTGCATTTTTTATTTTTGGATAAATCTTTCCGGTGTTAAAGGGTTTATCTACATTGATAAAAACAACAAGAACAAAATCAACAATAAATACCTGTATCTTAATGGCTGCCATTTCTGTACCTTTCGGACCGAGGTATCTTCTACCAGGGGTTTTAATAATCTTTTCAACATCCTCAGCGTTCAGAATACATGTCAGAAAATGCTACGAACAAAGCAAAACACCCAGTTATCAGCACCCTAAACGGTGGAATTATCCTGGCTCAGTTATTCGAAAACTATCCACCAAATCAAGAGAGAATATAATAAAAATTCATGTACAACCGAAACTACCGACAGCGGACACTCTTGAGACTAGAACAAATATGCCCGCTTAAGAAGTTTGACACTACTACTTATTAAGCGTGTAGTATTTTTATATCGCTAGGACCATGACTAATGCCCTTATCACACAAAAGCTTACAGGAGGTGTCCCAAAGCCACACTTGAAGACTCTACTCCTGACCATTAGTGAAAGGTGTAAGAAACGTGCCAAACTTCATAACATCAAAACGCTAACGATAGTAGCCACTGGGCCTTTATTAAAAAAATATCTATCCAGTAAGAGCATGAAATAACGGATTCATGTTCACTTGCATATACTGTCTCCCTAACGTACCTCTAGAGTTGGTTCCTGTTCTAGTTCAAAAACTAACGCAAGATCAGCAAGCCTGCAAGAAAATTGAGATAATGTATAGATTCAGCCAGGGTTGAAAGCTAAGCTTTCGTTAATAAATATATTTTACTCAAACAAAATATAAAATCGTATAATGCTAAGAGGCGACGGCAACGAAAACGGCAACAACAAAAAAAAAATCAATAGGTCCAATTAAGTCTGGTCCTCCTATCCCCGGCTTACGAGAAGTGGTGGACGTACGTACGTACTGACGGACGATTTTCGCAGAACTAAATTTGCTGGATGCATAGATAACCAAATTTTCTTACCCGTGGTGCTCCGCTGCGCGCGCTGAGAGCGCCACAAGTAACGAAGACTGTGAATAAGCTCTATCACCTTAACGGGACTCGACTCGAGAGCGAAAATAAACGATCGTGAAAGAGCAGATGAATTGCAGCCTGTAACTAACACAAGCACATATACTATTTGTTTATTGGTTGATTTACTTAATCTCTTTACCTGTCGCCGTCTATAAAAGCGATTGGAACACAATAGTTTGTGAGAAGCTCCTCCAGGTTAAGAATCAACGACAGTATACTGTGGGGAAAAACTTCACATATTAACTTTCAAAAGCGTTATGTCCATTTTAAAGGACTTAAGATTATCTTTCGCTTCGATAGCGAAGTTGCCAGCGTGCCATTGACGTTGTCTGCGGCGTAGGCTTTGCCACAGCGCACTCTTCACCTGAAAGCCAAGGATATGTTCACACTATACCGGATAGTTTTTGCGCCGCCAAGAAAATCATAGCGGATAGGGTCTGTTCATCCTCAAGAACGGTTGTGGTGGCTTGATTTCTGTGACGGAGTGAAGCTGCGCGGCGGCGATCTTTAAAATGGAGAGTCACATCTCCTGATAGGGTAGGTGTTCACACTACAGTCAACTCTCGCCTTGCGGACACCTCGCTATAACGGACATCCCGATAAAACGGACAGCAGCTAAATCCCAGGAAAAACCAAATTACAGACGTTTGACTGAAATAAACTCCCGCTATTACGGACTCTCGCTAATGAGGAGACTAACTTGAGGTCCCTACAGTGTCCGCTATAAAGGGAGTTGACTGTATATACACTGGATAGATTTTGCGCCACCAAGAAAACCATGCCGAATAGGGCTTCTGTTCACAAGAACGATTGTGGCGGCGCGATTTCTGTAACGGAACGAGGCTGCACCGCACAGAAAAGTGGAGCGTCATATAGGAGATACGTTTTTGGCCATACTGTGGTGCAGTGTGAACAACTATTCGGCCCATCGCAGAAGTAAATGAGTAGAAGCGAGGACTGCAACCCACTGGCACGGAAGTAAATACTTAGGAGTGAGGGCTGGAACGATGTTTCGATGTGTGCGAACGACTTGGTGGATAGCTAACTTTTCGTGAAACAATGAAAAGCTGTGAGGTATAATGTCAACATAGCCTAAGGTCTATAACTATGGATGATAACTCGTCCCCAGAGCAACTGAAAACGAGGTAAATCCTAGTTGGCGTAGCACAGTATATCATGTGACATACGAACAGTGAGTTGATTCACATTGAATCCATCCTCGGAGACCCCGGGGCAGTCAGACAAGTCGGGCGAATAGGCGCGACGAAAGTTTCCAAGGACGGGCAGTGTTCCCAGGGGCTCTTGCCCCAGAGCGGGCTTGAAAACTTTCGCCGCGTCGTTAATGCCGACCCAACTGACGGCCGCTAGTATTCCCCCTGGGTCTTCGAGGATGCATTGAATCCTGTAAGACAGGAATATACCTTAATATTCCAAATTTAAATAAAGGCAATGAAGAGTTCTTACCTTCCCCAAGAAAGACAGTAGTGTTGTTTGAAATCCAGGTAATCCTACCAAGTTCAAAAATAAAGCAGTTTAAGAAGATAGTTTGAAAAAAAGTGAGAAGGATAATGTAAAAATAATGAGCAAACAAGCAAACAAAAACAGAGGGGCAAAAACTCGGCAGGAAATTTACGTAGGAACCATAGCTCCAGTTCTCATGTATTACCAAAAGCATAACAAAGTTAAAAGTATTTAATTTCCGAGAAAATAAAAATGAAATACGATTAAATAGTGATGCAAGCTGAACGAGATATTCCGCGTAGAATGCCTGCCCACGTGAAAAGCATCTCTTCTATAGCCTCCCCATCTACCCATACTGCACTTCAACTGAACCAATCCCAGTCTCCACTGCTCTCGTGTTGCCTACTTTGTATTCACCTGAACACCGAAAATTCAATAAACCAACAAACAGTACAACTATCAGTCTTTTTTCTTGTCCTTTCCCTACTTCCTCCTTATCTTTGTCTCTCTTTCGTTAATTTCTTTCAACTTGGAATTGAGAAGATGAAAGTAAATGTTGATGAATTTTTACGCTTTTTGGGCTAAAAACCTAGGGTTTTGTCCTTTTTTTTTTCTCGCCAAACGACTGAACTTTTCATGACGTCTCTTTTCAAAAATCCAGCTGCATGTATTGTAATAGAACCTGATTTGGTGGAAATGGGCCAGTCAGGTAAAATTCAAACCTTTCCACCGAAGGACCAACGTAAATCTGCAATAATTAATTGAAGTAAGCATAAAGTAGTTTTTATTCTAAAACCTTCTCAACATTTATAGTGTAATGATGGCGAAAACGGATTCTACTTCAATGGATCCTGAACTTGATTTACCTGAGACGTGACTCTGGTTTTTCCATTCTGAATAACAAACTTATGAACACTTTTAAGCTCATTCGCTGGTGTAGACGCAGGCACAGGAATCTAAAAACATAGATTAAAACTAAATCACGGATCTAGAAGAGGGCACAGATAACGATCGATCAACGCTTGGACAAAGTCCGAGTACTGAAATTTGACGACGAAATCCAGCCTGCGGTGGGAAAACAAGACTGGACATTAGGGAGCTTAAGCAACGACGACGACGACGACAAGTTCACCATAAAAAAGTCATAAAACGTCGCATTAGGAGGTTCTAAGTCGTAGTCGTGCAGTGGACGCCAAAGAAATGTACTACAAAGCGTGATGCAGCAGGTGCAGAGTTCTGATGTTTTGCTCATAAAACCAATTTATTGTTTTTTGACGTTGTCGTTGTCGTTGTCGTCATCGACGTCGTGGTGGCTTGAAGCTAAAACGGACCACAAAAAATCCTGCGACTTGTTTTGCAACATTGCTCTAAAACGAATTGAATAGTGATGTTGGGCGTATTTCAACCCACGTTTGGATTTGTCTTGGAACAAATAAGGTTGCAAGGTTTTTGTTTTTTCGTGGGTGGTAAAACGCGCAAAATCGCCCGAAAAACAAGTTGGGCGTTTTTTGTTACCCGTTTTAACGTTTTTCCCTATTTGTGTCAACAACTATCGAATACTGTAGTAGTTGAAGAATTACGTAGTAACTGAAGAAAATAAAACAACCTCAATTTTTCTGGTTTGTTCCACTTAATCGGTGACATGGTCAGACAAATGCCCCTTTTAACAAAATGTTACAGTTGAACCTCCATGTGCGACCACCTCTCGTAAGTAAACACTTCCCATACGCGACCATCCAAAACAACAAAATTTTCCCAGTCAAAGCTCTATAATTACAACCTCCCGTAAACGACCACCGCCAGTAAGCGACCGCGACTACTTTTTGGCGAAGTGGTCATATAATTTTGCATTGTTTTCAAACTATTGTAAGCGACCACTTGAGGAATGACCTGATCTCTTTGCTCGCTGAATATAAAACGTAGATTATACCACAAACTTTCCATGACAAACTTAAAACCACACTTATCATGACTTAGAAATTGCATCAATTGGAATTTCGCTTTCAAAATTTTAAAGTAGATGTTTCAGGACCTCTACTCGGAAGAGACCACCTATGTGTCGATTTTTGTGAGGGACCACCTCCCGCGGTAAGTGATAATAAATCTTCGCATTTAATTGTGTGGTTCGCATTTTTGACATTTTGGTTCGACTGTATTTGTAATCTTGTAATACAATAAACAAGTGAATGTAAAGGACCATATAAGAGTAATGACTGTACAAATAAATCTTACTGTGTTTGGTGCTTCTATAGCCTTTAGTGGGAGTGGCTTCATCTTAGAATTTTGCGTCCAGCCCTGTCAGCAAGAAAGATTCAGTGAATTAAACCAAGAAATACAATTCCTCATTAGCTGGATGTTTAGCTGAGCTCAGCCTGAATACCTTGCATACCTTTCTGATACTAGTTGGTTGTTGCGAAGCTGAGGTAAGCATTCGTCTGTTCTTTTCTGTACTGGATGATGTCTGACGAGCGGCCTGCAGGACACCAGATGGGTCCATCTGCCAGAAAAAAAACACGCACAAGCTGAGGCCGAAAGGAAAGCTTATGAAGAAAATGAAGCAATCGAGCATCGAGAGATCAGTTCCCGCTCAAAAGAAAGGGATCCAAATGACCATTCACCCCAGCTAACTCCAGAGGCCAAGATCGCCTCTACTCCGCGAGTGGGAAGCACCACAGGCAACCCAACTCCTAAACAGACCTTCCCAGCAGCTACTCCTTCGCGTGAACATCTCAATAAGCATAACGATGAGTCAATATCACTGAAGCGTTCTCTGAATCCTCGCGCTCACAAATGGTATCCCACAACCAGTCCAGTTCAGCAACACGTTTCTCCAGATTATTATCGTGCAAATAGCCTCCAAGATGAGTCATTCCAGCGCCTGATAGAAAACCACGAGCGTCAAAATCAAGCCATCCAGCAGCTTATTCAGCAGCAACAGCAAGGTGTGTTAGCGCTCACCTTACCGCAGCCGAGTCTGCAAGTGTTCAGCGGCGACCCTATCGACTATTGTGACTTTGTGCGCGCCTTTGAACACATTGTAGAAAGAAAAACCTTGAGTTCAAGTGCACGTCTCTACTATCTTGTACAGTATACTTCTGAAGCCGTACAAGAATTAATGAAAAGCTGTCTCTCCATGCGCGAAGAAGAAGGATATACAGAGGCAAGGAGGCTGCTTCAAGAACGCTATGGGCAGAATTATAAGATTGCCGCCGCACACGTAAAAAGGCTGGTAGATGGCCCAACAATCAGAACTGACGATGGACCAGCTTTACAACAGTTTTCTATTCAACTAACTAGCTGCGTTAATACGTTGAAGGAAATCGGCTACCTAAATAAGCTCGATAACCCAGACAACCTGAAGAAGATTATAGACAGGCTTCCTTATTCTATGAGAGTTAAGTGGCGAGATACGGTCGACCAGATCGTAGAGAGGGAAGCGAGAGATGTCACCGTGGCCGATATAATGAAGTTTGTAACTGCCAAGGCAAGAGCAGCATCTCACCCGATCTTTGGAAACGTCTCTAGCGAAGAGCAGACTGAAGTAACACATCATACATGTACGAGAGGTCCTAAGGCCGACACGTTCTCATCTCTCGGGAAGCAAGAAGATAGCCAGTCAGAAAACAAGAAACCAGAGTGTCCTTTGTGTAGCGCCGATCATTGGTTACCGCGGTGCGATAAGTTTCGTAAGCAGTCCTTAGAAGAAAGGCAAAAGCTAGTCCGAGAAAGGCAGCTTTGTTCTAACTGTCTCTTCCCTGGTCACTTCGTTCGTTCATGCCAGAAAGAAAGCTTCTGTAGGGTCCGAGGTTGTACATCCAAGCATTCAACCTTCCTCCACCAAAACAGCAACAAGAACAGTTCTAAAAACTCTGGCGAAAACAGTGCCAGCTCGAATCGAGCTTCAAACTCTGAGCCGAAGCCTAACAGTAACGCTAATCCAGCAGCAAGCAACGGCTATGCCAAGTTAAGTTTTTCCGCAAGTACGACCGTCACAGGACTCGCAATACTCCCTGTTTGCGTAAAGGCAAGGGATGGTAAAGATGCAATTCAGACTTACGCCTTCTTGGACTCTGGTTCCAATACCTCCTTTTGCACTGAAACTTTGCTTCAAAAGCTAAATATCAAGGGAAAGAAAACAAACCTTTCTCTTACAACACTTCAAGGAGAAAACGAACCGATCAAATGCTCAATGATCAGTCTCCTGGTGTCAGATCTTCACCAAGAAAATTCCTTCGAAATTCCAATGGTTTACTCCAGGCCTAGTCTTCCTGTTTCCCGTGAAACCCTAGCAACGCAAGAAGATGTTAATCGTTGGCCTCATCTCAAGGGAGTGACCATATATACCGCAAATTGAAGCTGAGATTGGCCTTCTCATCGGTAGCGACGTGCCTCAACTATTACAGCCACAAGAAATTAGAAAGAGCGAAAACGGAGGACCATTCGCAACTAAAACAGTCCTTGGCTGGGTCCTTAACGGTCCCCTGGGAAGAGACACGCCCAAGTCACCGACGGTCCAATCAGTATGGTTATGAGAATAACAACCACTACGACTTTGGCATTTCAGGCGCGTTATTGTCCCAAAAACACCTAAGCTTTCCTGCTGTAGCCTATGAGCAAGGTTTTCATTTGAAACTGCTAGAGTCGAAGATCACGCGCGCACGCGCGCGCCTCGCTTAGTTTTGCATCACTTGCACTCTTGTCTGACTTCTTAACGCGCGCACCAACAATCGGCGACAAAATTAGTTAAGACACCTTGCCCTAAAGGGCCTCTCTGACGTAACAATAAAGCTTTCCCTCCCCCACTTCCTCCACACAATTTTGTGCCGCTCTTCGAGGGGAACAACAAACATCCCAACTTTTAATGGAGGGGAGAGGGGAGCCGGAGGGGTGTGCATTGCTTTGTTCCTCGAAGTTACCCTATTTGAGGACTATGTCTGTGGCCGATTTTGTGGCAGATTGAAGCTAAAAGTACTCCGTGGCCCCCGTAATTCAAAAGGTGGATAACGCTATCCACCGAATTATTCACTATCCAGTGGATAGTGCAATTGGTTTTCCTAATAACAAAATGTAGCTATCCACTGGATAGTGATTTAAACGGCGGATAGCTCTATCCAGCCATTGAACAACTGGGGACAGAACTTTAGCCTGAACTAACCTTAATCACAGATAGATTGTAGCCTCCAACTGAAACAGAAAAGTGAAATTAGAATCTTATCAGTGGAACAGAGATCTCTGAGTGCTCGCACGCAACTAGCGGGTACAAATACATGAGTTGAACGTGGGTAAAACTGGAATGACACTTGCCGTAAATGAAACTCAGCCCGCGTTATCACAAGCATCCAGAATCAATTTTGAAGTAGAATATGAATTTCTGGATGAAATCCGATGGTGTGAGTATTCAAACGCACACAGACCTTCGCAAGCTATTATGCGTTTTTTTCTTTCAAAGGAAATTCAAGAAAATTAGAGTTTAGTTTATTTAGAGTTTATCTTATTTAGTTTTTTTTTTTAAAGCAGTAATAACCTTGCTTAAGGCAAGGACAACGCGACTGAGAAGCAACTGGAAAACTGTTATTTTTCGAGCTTTTTATTGTATTTAACTGATCTGTTTATACAAAAGGTAATATACGTAAACATGATCTAATAGACGCCCGCGCGCCCGAGGCGTTTATTTAGTTTTAGTGGTCCAAGAGGGAGCATTTAATAGATAAGAGGCGTTTAAAAGAGAGAGGCGATTATTTTCCTTTTTGTAAAAATCTCTACAAAACTACGTGACAATGTATGCTTTCGGCGAAAATTTTAAGACAGTTTATAAATAGCGGTATATCCTGGTCCAACAAATATTGATACGTCTAGGCCGTCTAGAGATCCATATCACTCTTTCAAATCTCAACATTGATGTCAGAATCATCGTTCAGGATCACTGTGTTGTCATCGTTAGTCCAATTCCTTACTTTGAATTGACATTAAACGGTACAATGCGCAAACCCTCGTTAATAAAGCAAGAAACTGAATAAATTGAATGATTTTCTTTTAACTTCTTCCTAGACTTTAAGAGTAACGGACAGGGGGGCTAATCAGAAAGGGGCGTTTATTTGAGAGGGGACGTCAATTAGATCATTTACGGTACTTACCGCCGATAACCTCGTTTGGTGGTGGTGCCGTGTATCTTGAAAACTGCTGCTCGGCTTCATGGAGCTACAATTATTTTTTTAAAGGTACAAGAAAAGAGCAATCATTGATATTTGTTTCATTATTTGACTCATGAGAAAATAACATCCTAATAAGCTGTGTTTAACTTACTATAGCCTGGTGATGTCTAACGGGTGGTGGCTGAAGTGTGAGCTCAGCTGCTGGCTGAAAAAACAGAATGGAAGCAGAAAATATCTTAAATTTATGACAAAAAAGACCTTCCTTGCCGTAAACTGCCGCTTACAAGTCTCCACCCCTTATAAGTTCCCCAGTTATACGTTTATGACCTGTAAACAACAAATACGGTCATATATAAGCCCCCGGATATAAGCCCCCTCCAATTTTGTTCCAAATGTATTGATTCAGAAAGGAATCCGATTTACTATGACGTTTTGAAGCTTAATTGAAAACCAGTAAACGCAAAACGTATTTTGAACAGCACTTTCTTTCGCTTATAAGTGGCAGTTTAAGGTCTTGCAAACTGCAAGTTTCATTCAGCACCCTAATTCTGGACTGTTTGTATACCTACGCATTCGAAAGGAAACCAACATCTACACATCTATATATACAAGAACTGCAATATCCCTAAGGGGACACGGTGTCGCAAGTTTCCAACAGTGCAACTTGGGCAAAAAGGTAGTTATCAAAGGAAAGTGCTTGTTTCGGTTTTTGGTTCGGTCGGAAACCAGTATTCTAGATACTTGACCTTGCGCGCTCATGAAAAAGCCCTTACGCTTCATGTTGATTTGGGAAAAACAAATGAAATTCTCCTTAAGCACGCTTCAGAACCCAAACGACTAGGGCTTACATGGAATACACAGCTGATAACCTTGGCCCAGTTTGGCTCAGTCAAACTTTCGTCAATTTTCATAGTTTTTTATTTGGGCCGATTGTTCTCCGATCGCTAATGGCAAGGTGACGCGGGCAAGGCAAGTGTTGTCCGTACATTATTTCAAATTATTACATGTACAAAAAACCGCGCAGAACATGGATAGCAATATGGCATACAACCATATCAGAGTCATGTGGTTAATGTTACGTTAATGCTCATAAGCGTTCAACATACACGCATCTCCGCAAATGGCTTATTTGCAGGTCTTTTGGGCTTTTTAAAAATGTCCCCTTTATAATGTTCTACAGCCGTACATATAGCCCGCTACATTGTAGACAAAATCTGTTCTCAACTTAAACCAGTATTGACAGAACCTATATGAGATTGGAGTTTGCTTTTTGCCAAGGATCTAACTCTTGTAACCTGTAGGTTGAAAACTGGTTTAACCTTAGAACAGATTTCACCAACAACAGCTATGCGTATTCCCTCACAGATCGACTTACTGGAATAAGGCCACGTTCTATTAGGCTCAAAATTCCCTTCTGTGCATCGTCTTCAGTGATTGGAGGAGGGGTGCGCTGAAATAACAAAAACAATTGATTGATCAATGGCGGGCACGCCTTATTATGAGGCTGGTTCCGCGGGTGGGAAAATTTAAGCGAATCTTGTGTTCTGATTGGCGATTCAAACGGGCAAGATGGCCCCATCTTGGCCGCTTGGGATTTCCCGCAATGGTCCCGCAAGAAGAAAAAGTTACCTTGGTCATATCATAATATTTGAATGCATTATATATTGACCCAGCTTATTTAGCCAAGATGGCTAGATACTGACAACGCTCTTTTTTGCGTTCTTCCAACTATAGGCCCACCTGATTGATATTTTCAATTTACGCGTGTTTTAAGGCTACTGCAAAAAGACATACCTTTCCTTACCTTTTCTTACCTCGACTTTGTTTCGGCCCATAAAAACAAGAAAAAATATCGTAGACAATATCCAGCTACTTTGGCCCCACACTTGGTCAACAATAATATATTTTATCTAAAAACACACTTCTCAGTAATAGAAAGACCCCAATTAAAGCAGGCATTACTGTTCATTGCTGTTTTATGTGTTGGTTCGTATTGACGTAAGTTACTTACCGAAGGGTCCACTTTATTAGCTCTGGGTAATGTACTCAGTGGATCAATAGTTGAGCCTGTTACAACCTTGCCAGGGACCTAAATGTAAAATAGGGACAACTTTCTTCACACAATTATTCTTTATTAACATTGCGGCTTTATTGATACAATTTACAATTTGCAAACCAAACAACAGGGGCATACAAAGGTCTTAAGCAAAAATGGGGAGTCTTGCAATACTCCAGATCGCATCCATAGGGTAAATTCAACTATTCTAAGTCCCGGGAGTAAAGCAACAGCCTCTATCCCACGGAATCAAATCTAACTTGCCTTTAATACATTGTAACTCACCACATACAAACACCTGCAACCTCTAAAATAAAACAATCAACTTACACCCCAGCGAACAAAATAATTCCACAGTCAGGGCACATGGTAAAAAGATGCACTGAAATTGACTGCTGTTATCAGGTCAATTTCATTTCTGCAGGGTAATACGAAAAGGCATACAAATGTGTACAACATAAGTTAATACCGATACATAGGGTCTGTTAGACTTAGTGAAACCTCTTCTATAGTAAAAAAATAAAACAGTGCTCGAAAGAAAATGTTGCACACCAAGTTATTAGGACAACTCTATAATGAATGTAAATACAGTGTGAATAAAACTGACAGACCTGAGAAGCATGTTCATGCTTATCAACAATGTGAGGCAAGGCAACACCATATCTGTCATTTAAGATATTTCTTGCGGCTGGGTGACTTGGGTTACTGAGGATCTTAAGGTTCCTGAGATCCCTGGTCTACACATTAAAAAAGGAAAAACAATTATTCTAAAAATCAAGTCTTTTAACGTCTTAATAAACAGGGCTCATACGCTGAGAATCAGGAGCCCATAACCTGGAGAGGACAACTCTCTTTTACGTAGGCAATAGCGTTTTCCAGACAACTTTATTTTTAGACTATTTTTCCTGCAAATTTCTCACAAATCAGCTAGCAAAAAACTGGGGACAAGAAAATCGTATATCTAATGTTTTCAAAGTGTTTACTTTTTCTTTTTGCCATTATCATACTGTAATACATACATATGGAACTTGCCTCTATTTTCGCAGGAAAAAAAAACCAGTATGATGTTAAAAATAAACTGGTCTGTGTAAACACCGTTGTAAGAATAGGCCAAGTATGTGAGTTGTATGCTCTGGGTTATGGGCTCCTGACAAAATTGAATGGAATGATTTTTGCACAAAGAACTTAAAACAATCTACATGTATTCCTAGAAATTTTTAAACACCATTTGAAGCTAGTCCAGCCATTTTGTGGTCATTGTCTAAGCAAAAATACCCAAAACTGGTCAAAGCTTTGTGTACAGGTCAAGCACTGTGCTTCTTTCATTTGTTATTTTAAATTACAGCTATACACGGAGGCCAACATTTCAAGATAGTTAAATGGGATTTAAAAGTAACACTATTTTCACTTTAATTTTCTCCTTCCCATGCTATTCTTTCACTGCTCTTGCTTGTTTTTCTCTTTTTTTTTTCTTTAGATGGTCATTGTACTAGACTTCATAATAAAGTTAAGCGTTTCTGTATAAATATTTACATGCAGAATAATGAAATTAGTTTGAAGGTAGTACAGGATAGATGAACAAGATTTTCTTAGAATTTTTGAGTCAACTCTAGGTTTTCTGCAACTTTATTTGTGTCTCTGGCCTTCTTGCCTAATTTAACTGAATCATGCTCATTTGGGCATGGTGTACAGGTACACCTGTAAATTTAATCATAAATAATGAAGTACTTGTTGTCCTGGAGCAGGGGCATTTGGTCCTGGTCTGTTTCCCTCTTTTGCTACTGCTATTGGCTCTAATAAGCTCTTGAAACTATCAAAATATATAATAACAGCATGCTAAATAACTACATGTTTATGATATAAATATTTAACAAAAATGTTCAGGTTTTCTAAACAGTAATATTTAATAGCCAAAGCTAAAGGCAAAAGCTCCCATTAATAAATTTACAATTTACTTTAAACAATAAACTTGTAAGCATGTATTGCGAAGATATCCACTTGGAGTTGAGCCTTTAATCAGCTGAAAACTAGGAGCTTGACGGGTGCAGAGAACTTAAAAAAAGCACGTAAGCTCAATGGCCGACTGCTGAGCCTGCAATACGTTCATGTGATGCTGGTCAGCAGATACCCTGTTTTGACAACTGCCAATTGACCACAACATGGATGTGCAATATCAGGTTGCAGGCCAGCTAGCTAGAAACTGTGATGTTTCACATTAGTTTCCCTGTGGTGTAGACAGATGGGCGGTCGGGTGGACGTATGGTTACAGTCTGTTGTACATGACTACCAAAATTTCTTGGATGGATAGTTAACCAAATTTTTCTAGCTGTGGAGCTCTGCCGATATTTAATTCATGAAAACTGACATGTTTATGTAGAGTGTACAATGTAAATTTACTGGTTATAGCATACATGTAACTAGAATGTTTTACCTGGCTTTCTGAGCAACCCCACTTTTCTTGAATGCAACTATGCGCTGATCCCTGTAAAAAAAAGGTAAACCATTAACAGTGAAACACAAGCTATATGTTTACAAAAGCAATGACTATAATATGAATTTGCTCCTCACTGCAATTACCAATAAATAGCTTGAAAACAAGACACCCTGCATTTTGTCATTTGTCCTAAACAAGGTAAAAGGAACGTCATTCACTATCAGATCAATTTAGCTGACACTTAGCTGGAATATGCTCATCGTAGATTAAACAAATAATAACTAGCCCAGATTATTAAAAGACACCCAAAGACTTCTGTACCTCCCCTTAAGCAATTCATTATTTATTCTTGGAAATAATAATATACAGCTCTAGATATAATTATTATTTTATTACCATGCAATAAACATAGTCTGTACATAATTTATACAGTCAAAAGTCAATTAAGGCTGTTTAAAGTTACCGGTTAGCATCCTGCTGTTTTTTCTTGGTTGAAACTGCCACAGGTCCTTCAAGAGATGGCAAAGTAAGCACTGTATTATTTGTGGAGTGGATGATTTGCTCTGCTTTGTCCTAGAGTAAAAGAGAACAGAGAAATATACTATAGATGTTTTCAATGACAGCAAAAAGCAAACGTTTCAGCTCTCTTTAATTCTGTATACAGTGCTCAACACTGAGTTTTTTGGAAACTACGCAATGGACTAGTAACAAGTGAAATAAATCACTAGCCTGTAAGGCCAAGCCACTGGTCCAAAAAAACCCTTAAAGAACAACAGGGGGGTTAGCAACCAGTCTTCTCTATTCCACTTCCTACATTAACATTGCTTCCGTTTTGCGAGTCAATAATACGATACCTCCACGATATGCATAGCCTTCAATGCAGGAGTATTTTGCAGAGTTTAAGAAAAGCTTTATTTTTGTCAACTTAACTAACTGACCTGGGGGTAGTAGAAGTATATTAAATATACTTCTACTAGTACAAATTTTGTACTATCCCAGCCTATTCCCTAAAGTTCCCAGGCTAGTGGACTAGCATTAGTGTTGAGCACTGGTATACTGTCATTGTAATGTGGCTTAGAAAGCCAACCTTTAATAATTAATTTTATTCCCACACAGGTTTACACCCTCCTTCTGTCCCTCTTGTTCCAGAGAGGAAAAATGAGTAGAGACACTATGTTTGGTAACAATGTGGGAAAGATCAGCTCTTATCCAAAAGTACACAAACAAAACCCCTTTCTACTACACAGTTTACAGGTTCAGATTTGGTTGAGAGTGCACAAGCCACCTGTAAGTTTCCCCTGCATGTTTACTGCTGGGTTTACTCCGGCATACGTAGTCATTAACTAATAAGCTGTAATAGCAATTACCCTGACACTTTGTTCTGTTCTCTCAATTGCACTTTCAAGTGTCTTGAGATCAATAACCTCTGTGGAGACTGTAGCTTGTGAAATAATCTGCTCTTTGAGGTGACGTAGATCATCTTGAACCTCAAAAAATAATAAGAAGAACAAGATGTTTAGAATAATCGTTGATTTGTATAGTTTACAAGTCAAGTACAAAGTAACCAGTGCAACTGATATAACCAAAATATCCCATTTTTTCTCTTGATGAGCACTTCACCTGCATTGAATTAGATTTAGTGCATATGGGGTTTACTGTAAGAGTAACAACTTAAAATGGGTCTTATACAAATTTGATTCAATAACACTAAGTTGTTAAATAGATTTATTTTGACAATAAAAAATACGTAATGTACAGTATGGGTAAGCATAAGTTTAAATTAGCCATTAAACCTAAAAAAAAAAGAAGAAGATGATAAATAAACTGTATAGTTTAGATAGTTTTGTCATTTTTGGCAGTATGAGTAAAGTAAACAAAAATAAAGGTTGGTCCACAACTAAATTAAGCATAAGTCAAGAATGGCAAAATGTGTACATGTACGTTGTACAGCTTAATTTTCAATTGTGCTGCGTTTAATCTAAGCTTAACGTATTTCAAGTTTAGGCGTGCTTGAGAGCCTCAGTTCCCTCGTTTGGTGGAAACAATTATGAGGAAAAAGTGTTAGTACAATTTTTTCATTTCAACTGCTTAACAAGAAGTTTACAAAATCATGCATTTCAAAAAGCAATTATTCCACTGCGGACAGATGTTCGGCTGAGATGCAGAGCTGTGAAAAGCTAAAAAAAATTATCTTCTAGTACCATGAACAAATTATTTTATAAAAAAAAACTAACGTTAAGAAATATTAAAAGTCATTTTGTCAAAGTGAATGCACTGTGATGTTTTTGTGATTCAAGTTGTTAATCCTTGAATCACAAAGATGCTTACCTTCACAAGAATTTCTCCGATATCAGTGGGTCCAGGCGGAATATCTGTCAGAGAAAACATCTTTAGCATAACAAAACTGGTTTGAGAAGTCACTGCATAGTTTCACGGGCTCTGCACGTTCAAAAAACCGCCATTTAGTGGAAAAGCACAGACAGCGTCTAATTTCTAAGCAACCATGTTGTAAATAATGCCTGACAAAAGAACACACAATCCTGATCAGCGGCTAACTTCCATCGCCAGATTTGCCTTCATATGACTTTTCACTAAAATCTGGATCCAACATGGCGGACGTCGGTCGTGTGTTGGTTGTGAGCTGCAGTTCGTTTCTTTCCCCGGAAGATATCATTAATGGTGAGAAAATTTATTCACTTAAGACGAAAAAAATTTTTTCCCTCTGTGGGAAACTCAGTAGTCATTTTTGGTGGGCAAGTGTGATCAATGAAAAGTTCCAAAACAAATTTAATTGTTCGCTCGTCATTTTATAATTATTATGACCGACTTTTCTACAAGTTCTCCTTGCCCTTTTATCGTCTATTTCAGCAATGTGCAATAAGAAGCATCCTGAGCCCACACAGCTGTCAGACAGTTTGACTTCTTACCTTTGGAAAATAGAAAATAAATATTACACCGCAGATGTGCATCTCTGTGCATGTTCTGTTAGTTCTCTGCCGCCACAGTGTGAGTTTGCGGGAAACATGAATTTTCAAAGTGTCATTATTACTTTTGATCAAAAAGAGGTGAGGGCCCATTTTTATTTTAACTTTAATGATAGTATGTTCATAGGTAGTCCATCTTCTGTTTGTGTCATTTTTCTTGATATCTGACCTTCTACCTACAGGGAGAGAAATACAGGTTATTATAATAATGGCAATTGCAATTTTCCCTTAGAAAAGAATGAATGAAAATGCGTTGTTAGAAGTTCAAGTTACATTTTAAATGGGACAGGTGTTATGCATTGTTGTTTAATTTCGCTGACTCAAACTTTTTTGAGGTGTCATTTTGCTGGCTGAAAAGAAATGATTGTCCTACAAAATGTTGCCTTATACATGTACAACTTGAGACTGTATAAAAACTTTTCCTAGTTAACATTTTGGTTACTGCCAAATATTCATCTGTATTTTTTACTCTCATTCTTGTTGCTCAGATTTCAATACAGACAACATGATTGATACCTGATCATTATTGCCACCATGATAGGTTTGAGGAAATTGTACTGCACTTTGAAAGACTACAATGAACCTGTATTCTTAATCCACCATTTTGCTAGAACACTTGTGTGCCTTTTTCCATAAAAAGGCAATTTATACTGCCTCAGTCTGTGATTTTAGCCTGAGGGGAGGGGGAGAGGGTACTCCCTTGTATAAGCGATATAGGTATGTGCCATCCCAAAGGATATGGTTTTTGAGCTGTTTTGGTCTGAAAATGGGTATAGCCTTAGCTCATTTTGGTCTGGAATCGGGTATGGTTTTCAAGGAAACTACAGGAGTATATGAATGTGTTTATCGAATGAATAAGAAAGAAAGAGAAATCAATGCGAATTCAAAGTGGATTTTAAGTAATCTTTTTTGTTGGCTTTTTAATCTAAATAACAATGACATGACTTCCTAGAGGCGGGGTCTAAATACGAGTATGGGTTTTGAGAGACCGGGTCGTAAAGTAGGTGTGAAAACATGCCATTGGTTGGTCTGAAATAGGGTCAGGACTTGGAGAAACAGGTGGCACACCCCCACTGAGAAAAATTTTCCCAGCTGTTTCCCCCGGGGATTTTTTAGGTGAAAAACCCATATCCTACTGGTTTGCACATTCTAACATGGGTATATACATGTTACATGTAGATGTGCCTTAATTTCTCACCCTCACCCCCCTCACTTCTTACAGTATACTATTCAAACAGGAACCTTTGTCTTTAATCATCATTAGATAACAACATGTACTAAACTGTCAATCTTAATTATTTTATTTTCCTCCATATCAAGTTTTTTTTTTAACCAAATACAAGGGAAAATATTGCATGATATAAAATTCACAGCGTGAATAAAAATTTTGCTGGTGTTGTTACTGTTCATAAATTATCATCTATCCTAGAAATCTAGTTTTGAGGAAGTAGCCTCATGGCTGTCATACATTGAGTCCAAGGATCCATCTGTCTTGTTACTGATCAATTCTGGTAAAGGAGAATTAGACAATGGAGGTAAAACACCTGTCTCAAGATGAATAATTTGCTTTCTTGAATTTTTTGTTACCATCATACATGAGTTATTGTCAACAGATGAACCTTCTTGTATAAAAATAATTTGTGACTGATATTATGTTGTAGTTCAATGTTATTGCTTTGGTTTGATTTTTTCCTTCCCTAGTCTCAAATCATTGTACATAAAAACTAAGGATAAAATGGAATTGCAAAGTATACCTGTGCATACATGTACCTATAAAAAAAGCATTTCTGTTGGCATCCCATCAGGACTATGCAGGAGCTATGAGGACTATGAATCAATAACGCAGAAATATGAATCAATAAACAAGTAAATAAAGCAATAATTATTGTGTCAACTAAGCAGTCTTGCACTTTTGTGAATTTGATGTACATAAATGCAGTAATGAGATTTTAGAAGATCTGCACTGTAACTAACAGCCTGTCCCAGTGATTAGACACAATGACTTTTTATAATAGCAAGTATAATTATTATTATTATACAGTTTTCCTAACAACAATTGTTAGGAAAACTGTCAAGATTCATCAGAATTAATTTGTTATTATAATAATCTTTGTTTTTATTACTATCTTTAGGTGTGTCTAAAGCAGAGGTAGTAAAATGGTGCTTGGATAACTCATTTGAGCTCATTAACATGATCTGTGAGGAGGATGAAGAAGATGACGAGGAAGGTATCCTGCTTATTGTGGCATGTCATTCACTTTGTAACGGTTAAATAAATAAAATACCAGACTCAGGACATGACAGTAGTAAACTGTCATGTTACACCTTAGCATTATTGTTTACAGCTGATTTGAAATACCTTTTGTTTGAGTAAATAATCATAATTAATGAATTGGGATATGTTTTGCAAAATCTAGCATTGAAATGTCCAATAAACAATAACAATGTGCATTCATCCTAGATGACTTTCGTGAAAAGACAGGCATAGACAGAGTGATTGAAGCTCTTCAGTGTGCTGAGTGGCCTAATATGGAAATGAGGGGTATGATTGAATGAGCACTGATACATCACCTGTCCATGCTATTGTTAATTAGTTTATGTTCTTGTTACTGTTGTTGCCTGCAAATACAGCCACTTCCCATTGCTCCCCTTTGCCAGGGACTTTTGTGACAGAGGCGTCTGTGTTTTTGTCCAAAAATTATATGGTGATTATTTGACATACTACTGTATGTAGCAACTACACGTAGTGTCCTCTTTCACCTATTTTTTGCAAATGGCAGACAAAACTCAAAAGTCTCTCTCATGAAACAACCAGCGGTCTCCAGCAACAGGGAGTGACGAGAGGCAGCTGTATTCACTGGCTAGTTATAGTAGTTAATCTGCCAGTCTTGATTCTGTTTATTATCTCTGTCATTAAACAAGCCCAAAATAGCGCTTTGCTCAGTTACTATTTATAGACCTGAAACTTAGAGAAACAAACTGAAATTAACATTAGCAAATTCCTCACTTTTGTCTGTCTTTTGTCATTAAAATGAGAAAAATGACAAAACCCAGACAAAAATTGCAAATTAGTCACTCTGACATCATTTGTGCGCTAGGCTATTGTCTTGACGCTAAAAATGCTCAATGCCTGGCACTAATTTTCACTTCATTAGAACTGGGAGTGCTACTTAACTACAGTCTTTGCATGTTATAGGTAAAATCCATTCTTACCTTTAAACCAGTATTCAGCCTAGGTTTCCAGTGTTAGAACCAGGCCAGCAAAGAAACCAGATGACATGTTTTACTTCCAACATGCATGCAACTTGCAAGGTAGAATGAACACGGCTACAGACTACACTCTTATCCAATTGAATCTGCACACTAAATCATCGGAGCAGAGGGCCATACATGTACATTGTACTTTGTTGAAGATCAAACACAATAATAAAATTGTGTTGTATTTTTTTGCATGCAGAAAGTCAAAGTCACAGAGCTGTAAAAGTTTCCAGTAACGACCAAGAAGCAGTTAACAAAGAGGATAATAGTAAACAGAGAAGTAAAAATGATGGTGCTTCAAAGAACCCAACTAGTTCATTAGCAGCCAGTGACAAGCCTCAAGGTTAGTTCGTTTGTTTCTTTTGATCAACTCTAGCAGCCAAGAGAGGAAACAGACAAAACAGCTACCATTAGAGCAAAAGCATCATGTAATGGGGCTTGACACAAAAGACAACATACTAATTGCTGGGAGCCAGTTAGTTCTCAGCTTAGGGGAACATTTAGCCTATCAACAGAAGTTATTCTTTTATTTTCTGTCTTTGTTTCTTTCTTTTCGTTTTTTTTTTTTTTTTTGTTCTTTTTTTTTCGACCACTCGACAGCGCGCGAGCATCGAGTGCGAGAATGAGCGCGAAGTGCGAGAAAAAAAGAAAGGAGCTATTTCCTCTTTTTCCCGCCCCCACCCCCTTGCTCTTGAGGTCAATAAATCCCCATGCACGTAACCGCTCATCTCGCCACTAATGAAGTCGCCACCAAAATAACTCTGTAATAATCGACCTCTAAAGAGAAATTAGGGATCTGTGAACAGCAGGCAGCATTAGCATTCGAAAGAAACATAATATCAGAGAAAAGTGGATCCAACATGCAAACAAAGTAGAGAAAACATCTGCACTGTTAACCACTGATAGAAAACCTAAATGAAAATCATTGTGTGATGTGACTGTCCATTCTCGTTCTTGCTGATGTCTCGTTTCTCATATGAAATCACTCTGCGATTGTTTCGTAGCCTTTGCACAGCCTGCTGATGACCTTGAATTACTTAGCAACTTAGCAAGTGATGGAGCTGAAAATGAATCATTTGAGGAGCTGTTCCAGAAGCTTGCAGCAATGAAAGGTCAGAAATTGTTTGTTTGCACAGTAAACTTCCAGCAAAGCATCAGAAACAACATTCATAAAAAATACTTATTACTTGGAGCTTTTTCTCTTCCTTTTCCTAGAGCGTGCATCTTCACTACCTGCTGAAGAAAGGAAAGATTACGCGGAAAGGGTAAGTTGCTTTCATTATACGTGCGTCAGTGGTATTTTTTACACTGAACACCTTTCCATCTGCTAACTCATCAACTGCCAAAGCGAGTCAGTTTCTGAATCTCACTTCTGAATTAAACCTCCGTCACTATTTACTTTCCTATAACGTCAGGCAAGCCATTGGGCTCTATGATGATATCTTAACCACAGAAAAGAAACGCAAGTTAAAGTGGTTTGGGCATGTATCAAGATCATCAGGGCTTGCCAAGACAAATTTACAAGGAACAGTGCAAGGAGGGAGAAGAAGGGGCCGACAAAAGGAGCGTTGGGAGAATAATATCTCTGAGTGGACAGGGTTGAAGTTTTGCAACGCCGTAAGAGAAGCTGAAAACAAAATCAAATGGAGGGAGAGGGTTGCTATGTCTGTGGCGCCTCAACGGTCATTGACTACGGGATAAGTGCAGGTGCAGGTACAATGTCATGTTCTGAACTATTAATTCTATTTTTTTTTTTTCCTCTTGTAATTGTCAACAGGTTGCCATTGCATTTTGGCGCGCCATGGGTGGAAGCGAAGATGAAATCGCTGGTTTAGGAGAAGACAGTGACAGCTAAACAGGCATTAATATGAACAGCAGTTTTTACCTTATGGACAGTGAAGTGTCTGATGTCCACTTCCTTTGGGCGGCAGTGGGTGTTGGAAACTGAGGGGGTTTCTAAGTGTTTTCCTTAAATAGACTCCTAATACTGATTAAGTTGGCCAGTATCTTGAAAAAAGGGAGAGTAACTGTAAATGATACTGTAATTTCCTATCCCTCTTTTTAACCTCCTTTTTTGAAAGGATTGTAACCAGCAATGTAAATATTTCACAATTATTCCACGAGTGCGCGTTGGATTTGAGTTGCCTATGATCATCTCATATCAACAAAACCTTCAAAACATATCCGGCCAAACCTTCAATGTTTGCGACCATCATTATTTTTAGTCTTGTTATGGCAAAATAAAATAAAACTCCCTGAAGAAGTCTACGTTAGCTAAGCAAAATGCGCAGGAGAATAAACAAATTTTCCAGCGACAGTTAGCAGAGTGCTGCTCACTAGTTTAGTTTTAAATAGTTTAAAAAATTTAAAAAATAACAAAAACAAAAGATCAAGACCTTTGACGCAAAGAGACTGCGGACTGTTCTGTCAAAAGTGAGCAGTTGGCAATGTTCACGGAAAACAAGACTTTCCAACAAGACATTTTATACGCCGCGATGAGTAATACGGCAACCTGAAACACTTAGTATTCTCAGGGTTTTACACATTCTAGACACCTCTAAGAGGTGGTTATCGTTGAATTCGGAGTTACGAACATTATATTCAAGAAGATTTGCCAAGGTCGTGGAAACAAAGAATTCTGAAGTGACAAGTTTGGCAATGTTCACAGAACACGCAACTTTCTCCAGTGAATTCTCCTGCACACGTCGTCGACATATTCCCAAGATATGGAAACTTTTGTTGTTGTTTTTTTAAGCTGAAGGTCATTCGAAGTTTCGAACAAGCGAATTGATTCAAATTTGCGTGATTCAAGACGTTTCTCACAATTGCTGGATCAGAAGTAATTGGGTAACATATTTTGCAGACACGACAAATGGTTCTTCGCAGAAGATTAAAAGGTATGAAGCTAAAAATGTGCAAAATCACATACATCTTCAGAAAGTTTTTGAACCAAGCTAAAATGGCTGTTGTAGCGCGGTATATATAATTTATTTCTGAAAACAAGGTTAATGCGATGTCGATGTTTTTTCTGAGCTTTCTGATGTGAAAATTGTCCTTTTTTCCAAATTAGAATCATGTAAAATTCTTCTCTTGTGCACCATTTAACGGGCACAGTGCGCCGTTTACTTTAATATTAAATAGCTCAACCTACGATGCTAACCAAGACTTGTAAAAGCGAGTTTGCCGATGTTACCTGAGCAAGTCCTCGGTAATCACCTTTTATTTTAATACACAAGTCCAAAATCTATTTATGATCATAAACGGCTTATAAATACCGATCTTACTTCTGCTCTGGTGCACCAGCCTGCAAAAGGTGCAGCAGTGTACAGGTGCACTGGGTGGCAAGCAAGATGTGATAGTACACTATGACCATCAACCACTGAAAACTATTTTCAAGAAACCCTTAAGTAGTGCTCCAAAGCGTTTGCAGCGTACGATGCTTCAGCTTCAGCCATTCAATTTCACAGTTGGGTATAAGAAAGGTAAGTACATGTACTGGGCAGATACCCTGTCAAGAGCCTCCTTACAGAAGCCTACACCCTTTGGCCCCCAAGAGCAAGTATTTCAGTGTTGCTTAGAAGATAATGACGAGTTGTTCAGAGCAGAACTGGATTCTCCTGAGACGCTCCCTAGTACAATAGAAGAGATCAGAGTGGCAAAGACAGCTGAACCAACGTTGTCTGCCCTGTCTGAATTCGTGGCTCAGGGATGGCCGCCTGAAAAATCCTGTGTTTCAAAAGCGCTCCACTAGTATTACCCATCGCAGGATGAACTGGCAGTATACAATGGAGTACTGTACAAGTCCCGTAAAGTTGTCATACCCCAGCAGCTGAGGTCTAGTGTGTTGAGAAATCTCCACCGGGGACACCAGGGTGGTGGAAGTATGGTGCGTCGTACACATGAAATCCTCCAAGACAGTGTCAACTGCTCTGTGTGTGCTAGCTACAGTTTTTCACTTCCAAAAGAACCCATGTTGTCACACGAAATTCCCAAAGGCCCGTGGAAGTTCATTTCACAAGACCCGGTTAAGCAAGGAGGGCAGTGGTATGCCGTGATAGTAGACCACTTCAGTGACTAGTTCGCGGTAGATCTATTAAACGACTACATCACTGCGGTTCATGTTTTCTCGGTCACAAAGCCACACTTCGCCCGCTATGGGGTACCCGAAAGGTTTTTGTCTGACAATGGTCCTCTGTATGACTCCCAGGGGTTCTCAAATTTTGCCAAAGCTTATGATTTCCAGTTGATTACCCGATCGCCGTATTAGGGACATTAAGATCCGACGACGGCGACGGCAACGGGGACGCCACAAAAGCAATAGGTTTAATTAGCAAAACAACAGTTTTGCACCTGCATCACGATTTTTTGTACATTTCTTTGCCGTCACTGCACGACTACGACGTGAAAATGCCTAATTTCACGATGTACAAAGAAAGTGCACAAGCGACGACGAAATTTCCTCTCTCTTTCTGAACTTGGATATGGTTCTTAGGATTCAACTTTAGGAAAGTTCGCCTACATTTGACAAAGTTAGTGACTTGGAGTAATGGCGATGAAGATTGAAAGAACGCGAATTCACTTTTTTAGCGACGTTTTCTGTGCCGTCGCCCTCCTCGGTTCCTAAGGTCCTTATTATGCGAGGACGACGGGTAAAGCAGAATCAGTAGTAAAAGAAGCTGAAAAGATGTTAAAGAAGTCTGAACTACGAAATGGTCTTCTGGGGCACACGAACACACCACCTCAGGGTATGACCTACTCCCTTGCACAGAGGTTTCTCTGCCGTCGAATGTCAATTTTGCCACTGTCTGAATCATTGTTGCGTCAATCTGTGCCACCAGTAGAAGTGGTGTGCGAAGAACTCCTAGACAGAAGGGCTTATTAAGCAAAAGCCCAGAATGACAAAACTGCAAGTCAGGAGCGAGCGCTGCCTATGCCTTGCCAATTTTTCTACACCAAACCCACCGGAGATGAAAGGTGGAGTTACAGGAAGTCTTAGAAGAGGTGACCCCGCGTTTGTATGTCGTTAGAACTCATGCAAGACGGATTGGTCCGACGTAACGAAACCTACTTAAGACCTGCTGGGGCTTCAGGTTCACGCAGACCGTGAGCAACCGGCCAACAACAAGCAGAGTCTACCAACCTACACTAGTTAACGAAAAATTCACTTATTACTATTATTATTATTATTATTATTATTATTATTATTATTGTTGTTGTTGTTGTTATTGTTGTTGACCTGCTTTAATTAACTCACATTCGTTCATGCGGACATCAATTGCCGTTTTTTTATAAAAACGTTTCAGTTCGTGTTTAAAAATCGTTTAAAACTAAGATAAAAAATACCAAATACGGTTCAAATTGAAAAAACTGTTGCAATTTGTAATTAAAAATCGTTTTTGGCTTTAGTCTCTTGAGCTCACTCGGCAGTGAGGCCCAATCGTTAACTGCTTTTGTTTACAATGAATCATCTTTGCGGAGGACATTAACCAATTGAATGTACGGGGTCTTATGAGTCAACAAATCCTTGAGCAGATGGTGCGGAAAGTCACAAGAGGCCATAAATTGTTAGTTGTGTTTCTTACCAACTGCCTACACCTGTGGAAACCACCAGTTGTGCTTAATGGTCTTGTGCTGTCAGACTACTTAGCTGTTATGGTCACTCCTCGCATCGCTGCTAGACCTGACAGGTCGATTGTGTATTTCAGAGATGGGAACATCGGAAGATTGAAACGGAGCATAAGCTAGACACAGGCGTTTGGAGCAACTTACTGTCTTGTGACGATATTACCAAGGCGATTCACTTACTGGATAACGCCCTCATTCAACGAATGCTTTCCCCTGGTCAAGGTGAAGGTGTCTTCATGGGACCCCCTTATATGTCGCCACTGGTTAAACAGCTGTGTACCATCAAGGTCCATCAGAAGTAGGAACACCAGGAAATATTGCGATGTGAATGCTGACCTACAAGCAAATATAAATGAGCTCACCCGCAACAACCAAGTGCAGGCTGTACGCAATGAAAACAGAAAACATGGAACTGGGACTAAGGGTTGGTGAAATACTGTAAACAAAATCACTGGCAGCGAGTCTAAGGCGTTAAACATCAGCTCTGTTATCAACCTTGTGGACATATACTGTTTTTTCAAAATAATTAATACTTATACCCAGTACTCAGCCCCGGAACTATTACCTATTCCGGAAGGTACTCGCGTCCCTTCTCTTGATGTGCATAGGATTTCCTTATTAGCTTTGGAGAGATTTTGCACACCATCGTACACCAGTTGTCACCAAACTTTTTTACTCTTCACTCAGACAGCAGTCAGTTCCTCTTCCATGGAAGCTTGCCAACATTTCACAGATTCCCAAAGAATCTCCACTGTGATCGTGTGCTCAGATTCGACCGATATCCCTTACGCACATCTGAGAAGCTAGTCAGCAAACAAGAGAGTTTCATGGAGCTCAAGGCCGTGATTGGTATGGATCCGTTTGCTTATAAGGAACACTGCAATACCACGATGGCGTTTCTATAGTGTCTGTTGGCTTGGGTGGCTGGATGATGATGTAGGTTTTGTTCGAGTCTTGTCATTTGACTTTAGTAAAGCAATTGATACTGTCTCTCACAAAATAGTCTGTGAAAAGTTGAAGTCTATTAATCTGAGTGATATATATCATCAACTGGATTATCAGCATCCTTGGCAACCGCAAACAGAGGGTCGCCGTAAATGGAAAGATTAATGATTATGTTGATATTAACAGAGGGGTGCCTCAGGGCACAGTCCTTGGGCCACTTTTATTCTCTCTGATGGTGAACGATATAATTAATGAAGCTAGTTGATTCAAACAACGGGATATCGAATTATGCCGATGACATCACTATTAGTATACCTCTTCGAAGGAACGCTGATACAGCGCTTGCAGTAGTTAAGAACCTTGAGAGCTGGGCAGCCAACAATAGGATGTCTTTAAATTTGTCAAAGACGTGGGAAATGCTACTGCGCAGCAGAAATACTAAGCTTTCTCCTCCTCCACTGCCTGGAATTGAGCGGAAAGAATGGCTGAAACTTTTGGGGATTACTTTCCAGGAAGATCCTTGTAATTGGGATCTTCATATTGACAGTTTACTCTCCAGAGCTGCTAGTCGAGTGTATATTCTTAGAGTATGCAAATATTATGGGTACACTTAAGACCAGCTTAGTAAACTTTTCGACTCTTTGATAATGTCATTATTTCTGTATGGATTAGCAGTATGGGGCTCTGTAAATCAAGGCGGACTGGCAAGCCTGTCGTTTTGGCTATACAAATAAGATAATTTTGATATCTGAAGTGATTAAGAGTAGGGAGAGTGATCTTTTCAACAGAATCACAAGTCACACTGGTAATGTGTTGTATGACTTGCTTCCATCCAAACGTAATAGGGTTCTTACAGAAAGGGGTCATGAATTCATACTCCCTTGAACAAAAACGGAACGATTCAAACGGGCTTTTGTAAATAGGTGTCTTTTTAAATTTATTTCTTAGCATCTTTCAACTTAAATCTTTTTTAATTTTGCGATACATATATGATAGGTTTTTACCTTTGCTTTAATGGTTCGTTATTGATTGTAAAGCCACACCTGTGTTGTGAATGATTTCTTGATAAAGACTTCTATCAGGAGCCGATTACTTAAAGCCTCCATATGTGCTGTACCCTTGAGTCAACCCATTCCCGTAAAGAATTATTTTTAGAACAGGCTTTCCCGCGAAATTAATGTGTTTTCCAGGACGTCCGCATATTTCTTTAGTGAGAAAAAAATGGCGACCAAAGAGGGAAATTGGCCAACAAGTTTACTCTTTGTTCCATCACCGTAGCTGCGATCCTGCCTCCGTTCCTTCCCTTACAACCGAGGAAAGCTGGTTTCGAGTTAAAATCTGGCTTAAAAATATTGCTGTATTTTTTTGCAATGCACGAGGTCGTGTTTGCTGTTGTTAATGCTGTATTCCATATCGCCCTTATTTAAAAGAGCTTTTCAAAGAATTAAAAAGTGAATCTCTTTAATTTGTTGGAGAGCCAGACTTTTTAAAAGGGAAGAGGAGCGATTACGGAAGCCCCATTAGGGGTTTTCGGGATACGGGATATTCGCGGAAAAAATTACCGGGATACGGGATATTTGAGGAAAAAGTTATTGGGATACAGGATATTGAGAAGTAGTTTCAGGGATACGGGATATTCGCAAAAAATTGTAACTTATCAGATGTTTGCTGAGAAAAGTTCTTGGATTACTAAATACATGTCCTTTTCTGTATTTTTGTTGATGATTAGATATAAATGAAAAATGTATAAGTGTAAAACAAACCGTTTGACCAGTCATCGGTTCATCATGGGCACTATGTGGGGGTAACTTGAAGTACTGAAAATAGCGCGCCAGCACTCGATCGAGGCAGCACCACCTGATCGAGGCGAGACCTCTGTAATGGCGCAGGTCAAAGTCATTCATGACGTTACGTCGTGTATTTATAAAATCAACTTCGACAAACCAGTCTCCAAATGGTCCTTTCAGACAAAACTTGAAGAGCAACAAAATATCCATGCTTACTAATGACACTAATGTCTCCATGGTTGATTAATACCAAAGATAAACTGCTATTTGACACAAGTTGGACCATTTGTGCCACTGGACTGCACAGAACACATGAATTAACCAAGGGAGCACTCATAATTTATCTAGAGGGTGGGCTATGATGATTTCCTTATTTTTTCCTTTCATTTTTTTGAAGCCGCCCCTGATCATCTGAGGGTTTTTTTCTGACCCCCCCTCGAGAGATGTTGATTTATCAAAGGAAAATATCGTAGCCCCCCCCCCTACCCCAGCACATAAGTACAACATGTCAAACTCACCCTTAGCCATATCAAAGTCTTGAGACAAGTATATTGAGCTTTATTGGTAATTAACATAGGGCGCAAATTAAAAAATAGTTCGCAGAAGGAAAGTTGGCAACAGCAAAAGAGATAGCTGAATTTTCTGTGCCTTTGTGGTTTCTGAGGAGCTGGTTAAGAATTACATAGACCATTTAAAACACTTATCCTATGGCAAAAATCTACGAACTCAGGAAACTGCTCAGAAGAGGCGCGCGAGAGCATCTAAGAGCTATGGAGATTACAATTGGGAGGAGCTTCTTCTGACTGAGTGGCTAAATTCTCTTTACGTTTCGGAACTTGACTTATATCTGGAAGAATCACTCGTTACCTTGGAAAAAAAGCTGAAAAAAGAAAAACTGGAACTGATTACCACTCATTTGAAAGAGACTAGGGCTGAGGCATTGAGAACCATGACTGAAACAGGGCAACGTCTTTTACAAGAGCCAGAAGCAGTCTCAGATGATGATGATGACGAAGGCGACGACAATGTCTTGGGGGAAACACGGAGTGAGGAGAGCGAGTGTATAAAGGAGAGTGAGAGTGAGGAGAGCGAGAGTAAGGAGGGTGACGAGAAAGAGTTTGAGCCACTCGCAAAGAGACCTTGTAGCACAAGAAGTGGGCGTCATGCATCAAGTTTCATACTCTAGTTCTGTATCAACATTTTGTCGAAATGAAATAAAAGACAGGAATTATAAGAGCGCCCAACAGCATATTTTCATTTCCTTTTCTTTTTCAGGAAAAAAAAATGGTTGCCCCCCCTATGCTCGATGGAAATTTTCCACAGCCCCCCTAAATCATAGTAGGAAAAAGAGTGATCTGACCCTCCCCCCCCCCCCACCCCTTAAAATCATCATAGCCCACCCTCTAGGTAAATTATGAATACTCCCCAAATGCTCAGGACGGCAACTAACTAATAAAGGAACAAAATGAGAAAGGGCTCTGGTAGCAGGCGATATGTAGAAATTAAGGGCATCAGGTAAGCTAATTATATTAACTGGTATACAAAAGTGATTTTGGTGGCAACATTTGTTAACTTTCCACTTGATATCCACCATATTTTGAATGACAGCAGTTTAAACAACTGTCACAATAAGCTCCTTGAAAACTATGCTTTTCCAGTTAACGTTTTAATGCCAGTGAACGAATATTATAAAATATATCGTAGCAAGTAACATATGAAAAATGGCCGATACTTTAATTTCCGGGATATTTGTGACCGGAATTTATGGGATACGGGATATTTGGTCAAAAAATTACAGGGATACGGGATATTAAGACCCCCCCTAATGGGGCCTCATTACGGTAAGGTCTGTCAGGGACCGCGCAGCAAGTTTTCGAGTGGGGGGGCTAAAGAAGAATGCGTGAAGGAAAATTTGGGGGGCCGGGGAGGGGGGCATGCTTGTGGATTTCTATTCAATTTCTCTAAAGTGACGGAGAATGCGAATAACGATAAAACTATTGATTTTTTTCCGCATCTTCAGTGATGTTGCTATCGGGTCTGAAAATTCACCATCACTAAATTGAAATATCATAGATTGTTATGTTATACGACTGATATCAACCTTTAATTACTAGAAATAAGCCAGAAATCCAACGATTTTGCTTGAGCTGCCTTGAACTCAAGGCTGTATAATTACTGAGCAATTATTGCACGAGGCGGACTTCGCGCTGATCGAGCTAAAATCAGGACGCACGGCACAATAACAAGAGAAACAATAACTTCATGATCTTCCAAAAATCAAGGTTGAAACTAATTGTGAAAACACTATTTTTCACTTTAACACCAGTGTGGAAACAGGTTTTGCCTTCACAAAAGGGTAAACTGACGGACGGGGAAAAACTCTAGAACTCTCTGGGAAAGGCCTTTTCCTGGGGACACTCGCTGGCTGCGGGAAGGCACGGAATCTCTTACGCCCGCTGAATACCCTTGAGACAATGAATACAACAGAACTTGGCTCCAATGTAGAGGTTTAATCCAAGACTATACTGCGGGAAGAGTCAGGAACATAACCAACCAAAATATAACCAAGACTAGATGGACCTGGATGTAACCAGGACTAGATGGACCTGGATGTAACCGAAGAAGCTCCTACAAAGCACTCGTATTTAAGCCTAAGCTAGCGAAGCGATACAGATTACATCACAACTCAACGAGTCAAATTACAGAGCACAACAATCATTTCTAAAAGACTATTGGTGGAAACCTAAGCTTGCTTTGAAACATTAATTACTTCCAAAAGCTACACAGGTGGATAACGGCTTCTTACAGGTTGATTACACTTTGAAGACTAAATACAATTATGACTTGACAAATAAGTTAACGCTCAATAAATCAACAGGTTGTTTACGGCTAAAAGAAGTTAAGACTAAAGAATAAATGATTTCTACATTGGCTTTTCACATTTTTATCAGCGAAAGCAAAATAACTGAATAACAATAAATTATCTCTTCACATTCCTCCCACCTTAAGTCTCAGCTGTCCTCAGCTGATTAGAGGAAAAAAAACGATCAAAAATATACGAGAAAACTTAAGAAAAATGCTCAGCGAATTAAAATATTAAAACTTACGTGTATGTTGAAATTTTACATTTGATTTTCTGGTTTTTGAAAATTTTGTATTTGTTTTTTGTGCCTGAACCGCGACATAAACCGAACTAGCCTAAATATAGTGGCCTCGGGGGTTCAAATGAAAACAAAAGCTGATCTATGTGAAGATTAACGTACCTCAAAATATGCGCCTTTTGAGGGCAATCACTTACATGCATTTTTACTCAGCGAAGCTACTAAAAGATTATTATATGCGTTTCAAACTCTCGTTTCTTAGCTTAAAACTCTCACACTTAAGGTTACCCAAAACTCTCATGTAGTACTTCTCAATTCTCGATTCTTCGATTCTGTTTGTTAATTCCTTATTATGTTTCTTCTTATTCGAGCCTTCTCTCTGGCTTGGACGGACTTATCTTAATTGATTCAGTTTTACTCAACGGTGTATTCGTTATTCTATCTCATATCTCTTGGACTTTTAGAAATTACACGCTAACTATTTCCTCTTCTGAAAGTCCTTCTCTCTGTTAGAGGATGGCCATTGTCATTTACTGGTGAGATCGTTCGGTATTAAGTCGTCGGAAGGGTCATCATTTAGCAACGGAAAATTGTACTTGAACTTTGTGGAAGACACTGGTTGATGCCAATTATGTGTATGAGTTTCGGTTGTCAATCTGCCATCATTTTTAGGAGATGGAAACAATTCTTTCTCTGCAGACTGGCGGTAGTCGTGCATGTTGTGGAGCTCTTGAGTTGTTGGTTGCACTTGAGGTAAATTATGAGCTTGTGAAGCAAAACACAGGTGAAAGAGCACTAGTAGCATGAACCAGGAAATAAACTTCTCAAACATAAATGGAATCTTGAGCTGCAATGCTGCTGACTTGCCTGTCTTCTGAAGCTTCACCGCGTTTTTCCTAATAGTGGGCGTCTTGCTGGACTGCGATGCTTGAGGCGGATACTTTTCTGTACAACTTGTTGCGACTTGTTGGTTGCGGATTCTTTCACCAGGCGTTTG